GTTGACTGCAACACTTTGAGTGCAACTGTCCAGCCAATTTCTTATCCACCGAGTGGTCCATCTGTCACATCCATGTCTCTCCAATTTAGAGACAAGGATGTCATGCAGGACAATGTCAAATGCTTTGCACATGTCCAGCTAGATGATATCAGTTGCATTTTACCTTAAGTGACTCTGATCTTGACTATAAGACTCCCTATAGGCAGAAATTAAGAGTTACTTTTCACATCAAGCTCTTTACTCAAATTCCTTTGGCAAAAGTAGATGACAAGTTCCTATGACCATGATACAGAAGAACACCACACTCACAAACAACAGTAGCCTGGAAATGCACTGATGGAGTCTGTTTTAGTTCAGAACTGGAAGGTACGTTTGAAGTGGGTCTCCTGCTTGTCTCCATTTGCTGTGCCTTCATTTGCAATGTCAGGCAATAGATCCCTAGAACCACCTGAAAGGACCTATTGTCATGCCCCAGTACGCCTAAGGAAGTATATAAGTTGTCACCCTGTTTTGCAGTGCAGGCAGCGGGGAGAACATTTATACTTGTGTTCACACACAGGTGTTCATTCCTTGGCCAGACTGAACAATATTTTGGATCCTCTTTTCCAATTGGAGAAAGGCTCCAGAATGACACACAAAGTCTTTACAAAAATCAAAAGTCTGACCAAAGTATGTGGGCCTTTTCATGATTCAAGGGCCTAGTGATAAATTTAAGGTCTGATATCTCAAGAGCTATCAGGTGTTGAAACTCATATAAAAGGCAGACTTTGCTGTCTCTGACTACATAATTTGCCTTAATCCTGTGATCCAGATATTACATCCAGCTTATTCTCAATAATAAAGTCTCTTCTACTTCAGTCCCAAGCTGATTTAAATAGTCATTTTTGCCAGCTGTCCTTGAATCCTGTACACTGAATCCTGCACTAATACAATGGGAAAGAAGAAACAGGTTTTTTGTTCATTTAAAGAACACGAACTAGATCTCAGATATTCAATTACGAGGTATCAGGGTTGAGTTGACCCAGGGAAATTCATATGACTGAATAACTATGACTTTGGTGCCAAAGATTTCTCTACTACTTAGGAGCAAATATTAAATGAAGTAATCCCTTTGGAACAGGCTTTAAAAGCTTCCATTAGTCATTAAACCCTTTCAATGCCTCATTAATTCTAGCAGTATAATCTGGTTTTGATTAACCAGGTTGTTGAGCATCTACTGTCAAACACTGATAAAGAGGGAGAATTTGCTTTACAGATCACAGGCATGTAATTATGTGTCTCATCACAGCTGATAACGTGTGAGAAATTACCTTCAGCCCCACAGAAATCATCCCAGCACAGTTAGCACAAAGTAACGTCACTATGTGTTCACATCTATAAGGTACACGCTAACAGGTCTCAGCAGCCTTTGACACGTCACGACCACTTTGAGAATGTTCAGACTGAATCTCAAGATTCGTGGGAAGGAAATTGAAGAAGTTTAATCAATTGATGTAAAATACTATAGACTTGTACTGGAGACACACTTGCAAAAGTTTTAAAAATGTTTGACAGTGACTGAATTTCATGCAAGAATTGCCAGATTGAGCTAAACTGTAAGCATAAATTTAAATTGACATGTATTTTTATTTAGAATAATGAAAAATAACTTTAGTGAGATGAATACAGCTTTTATTATAGACATAAGGGAGGGTAATTTTTTTTTTAAAACATTTAAATATCTGAAGTTGTAATTAGATGCTGAGGATAAGAACACAGAAAGTTCTGAAAATTATGCAGGATATCAGCATCTTTAAATGTTCACAAGTTCAATATAAAGTCTCAGGTTCATGGAACAAAAATAAAATGAGTGAAAAAAAATGGACTTGATTCTCTTGAAGGATTTCCACTGCAGAATGGAGTTCTGTGCAGGAGAATCGGACAGCTTGGATTTCCTTCTTAGCTGATGTCATGCTTCACTTTATCTATACTTCATAGGTGACTCATAAATTTATGTGAATGTTTTTCCCTTTGAAAATTTTATACTGCTGATGCACTTTCATTTAAATATGGAAGCATATTGGAACTTTATTATCAATCACAGTGAAATCCTTAATTAAAAAGTCAGATGGCTGCCTGCCTGGTTGCAAAACCAGAAGAGCCAACACTAATTTATGTACACTGTAAAACAGGCATAATTATGCTGCCGGTAGACTTACAGATGGTTAGGATTGAGAGCACAAAAACAAGGGTCAAAGCATAGCCACAGCTCACATCTTTCTAACCAAATGTTCACCAGTCTCCTCTTTTATAGACATATTTTCTGTGAAGTTTCTGAGGAGAAAGTTGCTTACAGTTTAGAGCAACGGAGCTTTTAAGTGGTTCTGTTCATACAATACATGCTATAAGTTCAAAGATTTTTTTTTTCACAGACACTAAGGCTGTACTACACTGAAAGTTGTATTTCCAGTAACAACCATACAACTCCCAGTGTGGAACTGGTTTTTATGATTTTCCTATGCTTCATGCTAGAAAAGCTGTTATCAAATTGCACAAATACCTACCTGTCAGCCTTACCTCTGTGCCTGGGAGGATCATGGAACAGATCCTTCTAGAAACTATGCTAAGGCATGTGGAGGACCAGAACGTGGTTCGAGACATAGCTTCACCAAGAACAGGTCCTTCCTGACCAATCTCTTGGCCTTCTATGATGGAGCGACTATATCAGTGGACATGGGAAGAGCTACAGGTGTCGTCTATCTGGATTTCTGTAAGGCCTTTGGCACAGTCCCCTAAAACATCCATCTCTCTGTATTGGAGATATGGATTTGATGAGTGAAATGTTCAGTGGATGAAGAATTGGTTGGATGGTGGCATGTGGAGGACCAGAACGTGGTTCGAGACATAGCTTCACCAAGAACAGGTCCTTCCTGACCAATCTCTTGGCCTTCTATGATGGAGCGACTATATCAGTGGACATGGGAAGAGCTACAGGTGTCGTCTATCTGGATTTCTGTAAGGCCTTTGGCACAGTCCCCTAAAACATCCATCTCTCTGTATTGGAGATATGGATTTGATGAGTGAAATGTTCAGTGGATGAAGAATTGGTTGGATGGTCAAATCCAGAGGATAGTGGTCAACAGTTCAATGTCCAGATGGAGATCAGTGACAAGAGGTCTCCCTCAGAGGTCTGTATTGTGACAAGTACTGTTTGATATCTTTGTCAATGACATAGACAGCGGGATTGAGTGCACCCTCAGCAAGTTTTCTGACTACACCAAGCTGTGCGGTGCAGTCAATAGGCTGGAGGGATGGGACAGAATAGGACAAACTTTTTAGCAGGGCCTGTTGTGACAGGACAACAGGTAATGGTTTTAAACTGAAAGATGAAAGACTTAGAGTAGATATTAAGAAGAAATTCTTTACTGTAAGGGTGTTGAAACACTGGAACGGGTTGCCCATAGGCATTGTGGAGTCTCCAATCCCTGCAGATATTCAAAAGCCGGGAGGTCAAAGACATAGTCCTGGGCAACCAGCTCTAGGTGGCCTTGCTTGAGCAAGCAGCTGGTCAAGATGACCTCCACAAGTCCTTTCCAACCTCAGCAATTCTGTGATTCTCTGATTTTGTTTGGGTGAGGTTTCAATTACAAACACAGTCTAGCTTTGACACCAAACACCTGGTCTTTAGCAAGAGGCTACCCTACAGCTTTCTTTCACTATTCATTAACCAGTTAGAAATGTATTTGCTACTCACCATTCCTTAAGGGAACTACCACTTGAAACATGCAGTGGGAAAGCACATTTTACACGTCCAATGCTGTTACCCAGACTGGGTGTATTCAATATCCACACTGAACATCTAAGACTGTAAGACAAAAGGCAGTTTTGAATCAAGCTGTGTTTTTTTAGTGCACCTTGTTCTGCAATACAGCTGTAATTGTAAATGCAGTATAGCTTCACGCTGCAACAGTGTAACAGAGTCTCTTCTGCTTTCTGGGGTTTTTTTTCACCCAGCTGAACCTACTTGCCTCTGGGAGGAACTGGACTCAGCTTCTGTCTTGTGCATCAACAAAATTCTCTTGTTCTGACTGCGAAAATCCAAAAATTACATCCCATTGCCCAGTTTTAAGAGCAAGGGGAAGATTTTTGTGGCAAATCCAAGGACCTTTCTAAACCATTATACATCCCCTTTCCTCTCAATAATGCTAGAATTTTTCATTAACTCCATCCATCTCCTGTCTAAAGGACGATGAATAGATCCATCCACCGCATACTGCTTAAATTCACCCAGTCATCTACTTAGAGGTGAAATACCACAATACGCACACACACACTCAGCGCTCTCCGAAATTTTAATCTACTTAACCCAATTACATAGTAAGAGATAATGCTGTACATACAATTGCTGAGTCTGCAGCGGCAGAATGAGGCAAGTGGCAAATCAAAAAGCAGCACTTTTTTCCCTGCTGTAGGTGGGAGCAGCCTGCTGCAGATGCACCACAGCTTTGATCAGCTGTCATGTCCTTAACTGGGGGACACAGTGCTGGGGATGCTCTTCCTTCTTTACTCTTCCTTTTTACTGTGGGAGCTGTGACTCTCTTGTATTCCTTTTGTCATCTTCTTTGCTTTTTCACTACACAGGGGATATTTTGTCTGTGTTGGCTGCATGTCCTTTGTCCTCTTTCTTGTGTCTTCCTCTCTCAAGGATCCATTACCTCAGTGATCAATAATTGATACTTTGTGATGCATGTTTATGCTCCTGTGGGCCACTGGTATCATCTTGTGTTTATACACTTCATCCCTCTACAATCATCCTCTTCCTATAATCTCCAAGGCCCATACATACATTGAGAATAACAATTCAGTGACATCAAAAGATAAAACGTAATACTGCCTTTTTCATAGTTAGCCAGCACGATTAGGAATTTGTAGTGAATAGGGGAATAATGCCAAAGAAGTTGATGTTTTCATACTCCATTTACCAGAGTAGAGCTTATTAAGTAGATTTCAAGGCTGAGAGGTTTATATAATGGAATAATTTATTCTGAAATGGAAAAATCAAGTCAATGCACAAGATGGGAAAAGAAAAATCCAAGATGATAGTACAATAGGTCAGATTATGCCCAAGTTTAACTTTGGTTTAGGTCTTTGTGAGATATACACTCTCTTTTCTCAGCATATGCAGCATTAGTATGAAACTTCTTTTTTTTTATTCTATATCCATTTCAAATTGCAACCAAAGAAAATGCATCGGTTAAACCCATCAGCCTAAGTTGACGGGTATATTCTGCTTCTCTTCAGTGCCTTTTATGATAGACTATTTGTCTTTATCTTACATTAAACATCTGTGGAGAATCATAAAGCACTTTAGAGTGCCTAAAAAAACCCAGAATTCAATAGCAGCGGTTTCTTTCTAAGCAGAAAACTCAGCAGTTAGTTAATGTTTTTCACAATTAGGGAAATGACACTTTCAAAGAATGCATCACAAACTTGCTCTGTGCTGAGGAATATTATGGGCACTATCTGAACACAGATTCCTACAACATATTTTACGTGCAGTTTCAGTGGTTCAACTATAAGCGTAGCTTATTAATCTTCTATCTTAAGGATAAAACCAAGATGTAACCACAAAATACTCTTTGATTCTTCCTGAACTGAATTTGCTTGCTCTGTCCTGTTTGGCTAAAAGAAAAAGTTGGTTTGAATCAGAAGCATTTTCTTTCTGCAGGACCAAATGAAATCTTCCTTTACAGAGAAACAGTTTCAAATTCATTAGCACAGTAAGGTGGGTCACTCAACTTGATTTTTCTTGGAGTTTCTCTTTGGTTTTTTTTGAAATAAAAGAGGCCTTCAAATTAGTAAAAAAGCCAAAGTTATCTTTTTTTTTTTTTTTTTACAATAGAACTGAATGCTAATTGCCCAACTAAAAGGCCAAAAGAGATGTTCAGCACTCCTGTATCTTTACATCAGCTGTTTTGTAGACGACAAAGCTAACGAGGCTTGATTTCCTATGGTTTTACATTGCATGTCCCCTACATATTCCTTATTTCAACAACCACCCAACCCAGAAGTATTTTTTGCGACCCTCTCTCTGCAAAATTCCAGTCTTCTCATTACCCACCTTTTGTTTCCATAGTAACTCAAGGTCTAACCATATTTCCTAAATACTTCGTACGCTCTCCTCAGCTTTCCCCCAGGTTCCCAGAGCTCTACTATCATAACTCCTGCTTTCTTTAACTACCACCTAGGTAGAATGGTAACACGAACAAAGAGTTCTGTTACCAACATGTTGATGAGCTGAATGACTACTGCTAGAATTGGTACTGGCTGATTCTCTCTTCCAAACAGCAGTTGCATCAAGAGAATCCCTTTTTACTACTCAGTGATGTTTTTCACTAAATTTAGAGGAGCTGAGTATTTCTTTGACCTTTCTCTTCTGTCTAATAGGGTGAAAATAACAGAAATGGCATTCAAAAGCAGAGCTAAGAATGACATGAGCCTTATTTTCTCAGGAAATCAGGGGGAAAAAAAAAGAAACAGAAGAAATTGGTCTTGTCAAATCGCAATAAATTACTAATGTCACCCAGTGTACTTTTGTTCTTTCACATTGTCCTGTTTCACTCATTGGGCAATCCAGAAGCTGTGGGGGAAAAAATATGATAATGGAGTCTCTGGTTGCTAAAAAAGGGCTGGAGAGTAGGGAGGAGCAGCTCATCCTGTTACAGTTGCTCAACCTTATTTCATCCAACAGGTTCAAATTAGCCTTGATATTTTTAGGGGATCCGGAAAAAGATGGAACAGTTTAGAGCAGCTGCATGAAGAGGAACAAAATGGTCTGTCTGATTCCTCCCAGCTTCCCCACGGTGCTACATCTGATATATTCTCTTCTAGAATCTTCCAGGAGTGGCATCATCATTACACCAGCTCCAGAATCCAGCAGCTCTGCATTAAGCTGGAAAATTCACTGATGTATGGAAGGTTACAGCAATGTCTCTCACTCCTGGAATATGTTATTTTCTTTTACTGTTGTGCCTCATGAAAAAGAAAACACTGAAGGAATACATAGAGCTTTTTTGCTATCTTCAGTTTAGTCAGAATAAGTCTTGTTACAAGTGCTTTCTTCCTTCTTTCTCTCCTTTTCTACAGTAATATACTATTTTGCAAGCTAGACAGTAAATTCTTTGAAGAAATGACAATGTCTGACATATGACTCCCATTCTGATTTAAGACTTACTAAGTAAGCAATCTAGAAAAAAGAATTTATATAGCAATATACTAACAGAAACATAGCAGAAAACATATGCATAACAAAGTTTATGAGAAGAACTGTAATAATTGCAACTTCAGCTATATTATACTTACTTTACACCAAGGTTCATGAAAATAATTCAAACTTAAATGCCATATATAAATGGACTATTTAAGAATGTTTCAAATTAAGGGAGGAACATCTTCATCATTTTCAAACTCAACATAACTCTTAGTCTTTGTAATCTTCTCTGGTTGTAGCCTGATAGGTCCCTGCCCAATTCGGTCCTTTTCTTGGATTATCTTTGTCACATCAGGGAATGAATATTTACTGGGATCCACTTCTAATTTCTCAACTTGTACATTCCTGAAACAATAGAAAAACAAATGGGAAAAACTACATTTCAGTGACAAAGGTAACAGAACTATTTTGGGTGCCTGTTTATAAATACGTTGATTTAAGTGTGAGAGTTGTTACTGAGTTAAACCAAGATTAAAAGTTTTTATTTCTTGAGATTTGATTGTCATAAAAAACACATTGTAAACACAGAAAAGTAGAACAAAATCCCTGAGATTTTGTACAAAAGAATCCTTAGCCTACAAACATCAAAAGTTAATTTTTTGACATCTATAATTTGCTTTAAATCGGAACATGTAATTGCTGGTATCACATTACAAATGGTTGGCTTCTGATGCAAGACAGGATATTTTAGTATCAGCTAATTTTAGAAATCAGCTAATTCTTATGTTTTGACATTATAGATCCTCACCACGCTTGTATTATGAAAACAATTTTAAATGAAAGTATAAGAAAGGTCAAAGCTATAACAGAACTCCCAAAGTCTATTGTTATTAAGGATATTCTTTTAGATCACACTTAAGGCAACCTATCTACATCACAATGATCAAAGATTTGAAATATTCTTATATTTTCTGTCTTGCAGCCCTAAAGCCACTGGTTTTTTTGAATAGGGGAGCTCAACAATTAAATAGAAAAACTAGCATGTTTTCAAGTAATTTGTAACTGTTTACAGGGAAAATGGCAACATGGAAATTTAACTATAAAATTATGTTCTAATTTCTGCAAATTCCACCACAGTTTGTACATCTTCATACTAATTTTCATTTTATACTGAGGAGTGCTACTTTGGGTCAAAGTTCCAAGCTTAACATTATAAAAGACAGTGCGTCACTCTTCAAAGATGTGAGGAAATTACAGATTTACCCAGGAGATCAGAAAAGCTCATTAGAACTAGAACAAACAAGAAGAGTCACTGGATAAAGAATGTATTTCTTTGATGACAATATGGGTAATGAAAACATGTAAATAAAGTCTATGAAAAGATTTTTAACCAAAATCACACCATCTTTAGTTGTTAAAACAGAGAGATAGCTTTGCCAAGGAGCTTCCAAATTCTACCAGTGCTTCTCCATCACGATTCCATGAGATCTGAGGGACATCCCAGCCCACATTTGTGTGCAGGATCTCTAGTCCAGTGGAGGAGAGATGCAGAGGGATTCATGGGAGTTTTCTTCCTCTCCTCCTCTGCTATGCCAAGCAAAGTATCCCTAACAGAAGAGGTAATAATCAGCCCAACCACCTCTTTCAGCCTTATGTCACTAGTTTTTTCCTGGGCTACAGGAATTATTTGCTCCTTTTGCTGAGTGGAAAACAACAAGAGAAACACCCTGCTTTAATAACCTGGATAACCGTTTCCAAAAAATGAGACAAACAAAAACTACTCAGAGGAGAATTTTATGGGTAATAAATACAGAACTTACTTCATTACCATAATATTCTTCACTTTATAAAGCTAGATTTTTTCCTTATGCTACACAGTTACTTGAAATAAAAGTGGATTCAGTGTGGCACCAGTCTAGAAAATGCTCATCCTCAAAGTAAAAGACATTTTTGTTTCCTGTGTAATATATGAAATACGCTGTGATCTGAAATAATTTTATCAGCAGCTGTTGGGGAGATTCCAATGAGAGCACACCATGTCCAGAATCTTAATCTAATCACTAATAACTATTCTGAAGCACCTCAGAAAAAGTTAAAAACCACTAATGAAAAAATTAATTAGCCTCAGCCTGTGCTTCCCTCACATGGTAGAAAAGATTTTCCTTGATTTGTAGTATTTTAATTAGTAGTGATATTTTACATTTCTTCAACAGCTCTAAAATTGTACAAATTTCTAGTCATGAAAACACAATAAACTCTATGGAATTTGAATAGCTAATTGCTTAGTAGCAGAATAATCTTCAGTACACCAGAAATTAATTAACAGTGAGCATCATAAGTAACAGTCCACATCAACAAGCTGTGAAAGGATTATATGCATCAGTCATTCTCAAAATTTGATCAGCACATGTTATTGAGAATTTATTAGCAACAGACAATAAGAAAGACTGAGAATCAAGCACAGGTGATTTTTTTTCCAGGAAGGAAGTGAATTTTTATGCCTTTATATGCACATAATCAAATATTTTATACTTGTTTAGTAAAGCTTCACAGTGCTATCTCAACGACCACAACACGAGGTAGACTCGTGTCATGCTGAAGTCAGTACAGCTACGACACACACATCTGCTGAGAATCTGCTCCTCTCATCATGTAATCTATGTAAGAAGAGGCACTGATGATGTCAAGACTAACCACCTGAAAATTTTTGGAAGAAAGAATGAGTTTTATGTCATGTAAACATTTTTTCCATGTAGTTCTGCCTAGCAGAATAAAAGTAATTTGTTGCTGAAGCTCTTCCACAAGCAACAGCAAGACAAAAGTGATGAAAACTATAATACTTCTTGCAGGACCAGCTACAGCACATTTCTGGAAATCTCAGTGTTTGCAAATGATTTCAATTTCAGGTTTAGGGAAAAAAAAAAAGAAGTTCCGTTTTTGGCACTGCTACCTGCTGCTGAGCGTTCTCTACTTGAGTGAAAATTATGGTCTAAAGACTAGAGAACCATACAAACTAAATAATACTGAATTAAAGTCTTTCTTTTTTCTTGACTTTTTTTTTCTTTTGAAAGGCTATTTCTATCTGTGCATAGCTCAACAATGCCTTTAAAAATGAAAATGAAAAGACTTCACAAAGTCCTTCCATTTTGCATAACTATAGCAGCCTGCTGAACAATCTGGTGTGTGACAGAGCACATATCTGATAATTTGATATTTTTTGATAATTTACACTTTTGTTCACACAGTCCTTAATCCCCATATTTGATATTTTAATGATTTGACAGTTACATTCCCCTGTTTCAACTTCTGAATTTCAATAAAATTTAGATTGTTAAAGATTTCTCATATGTTTGATCCAGAATATACGGGTTTTTGACATTTGATTGAAAGTTTCCTTTTGGCACCAGGATTTCCAAAGATATTTGCAAGTCACAACCAACAGCTTTGCAGAGGCACTTTTTCCAGTCTTTTAACATTGTGAATGAAATAGCATAAAAGTTATTATCATCTTAGAAAAAGTACTAATGCATCCTTTTCTAGAAAAAGAAAACAAAGTGATTTCAGTATCTGGAATTATATCTTATTTGAGAACTTTGAGAAAGACAAATCTTTATTTATGTGCTTTAAAAACCGATGGTGAATGTCTTACACCGGCCATACTCTGGTCTCAACTTTTGGAAATACAGGTTTAGAAATATATACTGGGTAATCTAAGCAAATAATCATGGTTTTACAGATACTTGGAATATTAATACTTCTTTCATTGCATAAGAGGTCTTTCAAATCTCTCTATATAGGTGTCATCTGAAATGAAGCTGTTACAGTAGTCTTCAGAATCAGTGGATCACTGGGAAGATATGAATAAACAATGGTTGGCAGAATCAAATTCATTTTTCAAGGACTGAACTACAATCAAAAAGAACTAATAAATCACTAGTAAAAAGTTCTGATAAAGAAAAGGCTGATAATACCTGGGTCATTCTGTTCTAAAAGACAAATACACCTAACAAATAGGATTCATCAGGTTAAGAATGTACATAATACTGGCATCCAAGTTTCTAAAAGTTAAACTGAAAATGACAGTCACCATGAGATTTTCAACTTCATTGTTCCTTCCTTTTCCACCTTTTGCACAATCACCTCAACATACCTGATTTCAAACTAACGTTGTCTGATAGCAAGTAGAATGCTCCAACACTTGCAATATGCAAATTGATCCTAAATTTCTAAGTCTGGCTATAATACTATTTCATTTTCATTCCTTGATTGACCCAGAAAAACAAAAAGCCCTTTTAAATTTGTCAGTCCCTGTGGAGTCCCTAATATTTAAAAATTTGGGAAGCTTACACTGAAAACACACTTTATTCTAACAAGGTGTTAAGACTTCATAAACAAAGTTATGGAATGTTACAAAGACACTTTAAAATACATCTCTGCCCTCAGTCTTTTGTCCTTGTCTCATACAGACAGCTGGAGATAACTTTAAGACTGTAGCAATCAAGAGTTAACTGAACACTGCTCTTGAGACTGTTCTTCTCCAGAAGCCATATTTCTGAATTCTTCTCACCCTTATTACAGTTATGGATTACCAGATGCCTGTATGTGCAAATTAATTTTCAAATCACTTCTTAGCCACCCCACCTTTTGTTCGCCTCATTAGTCAAATGATAGAGATGTATACCCTTTGATTAGCTCTAGGCCTCCAGGAGAATGCAAATTAATCTATACTTTAAGATTAACCTGAGCAAAAAGCCTTTTCAGTATGTTGCTTAGTCATACCTGACTCCACTTTCTATTTAAGAAGTCAATTGAATTAGAACTCCTATGGTTTCTCCTTTCCCAGAAAAATGTAACTTGGATTGTAAAAAATTCTTGATGTCCTCATGTCAGCTAACAAACTATGTAGCCTGAAAATATTATTTCTGCAAATCCATTTAACTCTCAAGACTTATGATCTGCTCCCAGGTATTAACAGAAAGCAAACAATCTCAATAGGATTGATAACTGATTTGCCATTTGTGATCTTTCCACAGATTTATTCATCTGTCATGCAGGCACACTTCAGATGTGCTTAGCTTTCTTCAATTTGAAATATTTGTGCTTGGTTTAGGCCTAGAAATGAAGGTGAATTCAGGTTTTGAAAGGTCACATAAATCTTCTTGCAGTTCTTTCAGATTAGTTTGTCTACAACTCAATTCAATTTCTGACCTCATCTTACCTCATGCTCCTAGTCTTAAGGAAATTATTAATTTTGTTCTACTGTATTTCTCTTTGCAACATGAAATTATCTTCTTTCCACCTTGTCACATCTCTATCCCTCTCTGTAAACTGTAGAAATGTAAGACTGGGAGAGATCCTCAGGCATTAAGTCTGTGGAAAGGAAGGGATTATTTCCACACTTCACAAGGATTCTTTCAAGGATCCAAATCAGGACTTCTCACTTCCAAAGAAAGATTCTTACCCTCAAATCTACAAATTTCTCCTACAAATTTGTTCTTTGCACCTTCTCCACCAAAATGTGCTAAGCTAAATCAGGGTCATCCAGTAAATTAGAGCTTCGAAATACATCTCATCTTAAGCAACACTGTTACATCTCAAGTGAGACAACTGTAGAGTTTTTTGAATAATCAGTCTTTCTTTCTTTGCTTGTTAATAAATGGGAAAAAGCTCAATTAAAAATAAAAAAATTCTCCAAGGAAAGTAAATTAATGCTTCATCACTCTGAAACTGTAAACCATAAAAGGAGTTCTGTTAATGAGTCTTATGATGACACGTTTGCTAGAAAAGGGTTGGAATTGAAATCCAATACGGTATTAAAAACATGCAAGTTTTCTTGACCTTAAGTTCAGCATAACTCACAGGCATTTTTATATATTTAAAGTTTCTCCCAACTAGTGAAGTTTGGCTGAAACTGGGTAGCCTGCTCACAAGCATTTGTAGGTGTACCAGCAGACAGTGGTGGATATTCCAGCAGCATGTTTTTCTTTTGTTTTCCCTTAAACAATCTGGATGAAAAAATAAACAAACAAAACCCCTCCCACTCCACTCCCAACCCCCAAAAACCCGTAAATTACATACTGCCAGCAAGAACTGATTCTAGTAGAAAATAAGTCAGATTTCTAACCTAATGCATTACAGTGTTTTCTACAGCACCTGCTGGTGTAGTCAACCAGTGCAACATTACTTAGCCAAGAGGAGAAAGACACTTAGAGCAGTCAGATTTGCAATGCTTGAGTTACTCAGAGAGAAACCTCTACTTTACATTCCTTATTTCATTACAAAATATGTATAGACAAGAACTTGCTGATTTATTCTTAATTCTGCTTTGTTAAGTACCCTAGAAATTGCTGGTCCATTCCTTTGCCTCTTCAAAGTAATCCATTCTCTGTATTTCTCAACCTCTCTATATAAAGAGCCACAGTAAAAAACCAAACCAACACAAAAACCAAAACGACAAACAACCAACCCACCCTCCCAATGAAAAAAAAAAACAAAAAACAAACAAACCAACAACAAAACCACAAAGAAAAAAGTATGTCTTGTGTATTCCTATGTATGTTTCTTTACGGGTTTACTGGAGGAATTTAACTGTGTATATATTTATATTTAGAAACATTGAGTTTTATATAATTTTATTTTATTTCGCCATGTGTTAAAGGAAGAATACTCTAAAGCTGAGAGTGTGAGACAAAGATTATTGACTTCATGTAGCTGTTATTCTTAAAATTTCCAGTGTGACTTCAGAAAATTAACCTCTATCTGAATTTCACCCATGCAACTGCAGCAAACTCAACTTCTGTACCAATCAGAGAAATTACTAGGCCAGTTACAGTGAGACTGGCACACTCAGCAGCTATATGCATAGAGGCTTTACAAGTATAATAAATCAGTCAAATTCCTCCCATAGAAACTTGTCTCTTTGAAGGTTTGAAATAGGGTTTTGTACACAGTCACAGAAGAAATCTCCTACGTGGCAGAAGTAATGACAGTATCATCCTGCAATCTAGCTAACAAGAGTTAAAGAAATTTAAAGCACTACATTATAGCTTAGCAGATTATATGTCTGACAGCACTTAGCTAAGACATCTGTAGCTGTCAAGTGTAATCACTATAATGAATGTTCTTCTGTAATCTAAGAGACAACTATTCAGCAAATTTTTAGCATCTGGCTAGTCAGCGACTTTTCAACTAAAGAGGTCAAAATTTACTATTTTTAGTAAGATTTCTAATTCAGAAGTCTTTTTTTCCTACTTCTAATTTTGTGATATATATCCCTGTAATATTTTGACAGTAAAATTTCTATTTTTCTTTCAAAATCTACAGTAAGCATATTCATAATTACTTAAAACCGCATTGAAATCAAACACAAATTCTTGAAGTTTCTCTGTGCCATGGAGCATCTTTAGTTCATCAGCGAGTGGGAAACTGGAACATTTCACATTATTACTTCCGTTACTTCCACGTTCCCATTATTATTTCTATTTAAATATTTAATGTGTAGCCAAAAGCACAGGCACACAGAGGGTTCGAAGGAAATATATATCTCAAATCCACAAGTTGCCAATTCTTTTGCTGTTTGGCAGAATCCATTTGAAAGAGAGATAATGTCAGTTTTCTAATGATGATATTTTTCTCCTGGAAAAAGCTAAGACATTTCTTTTAACTGGTTTCTTTCAATGTACCTAAAGTTTTAGCTGCTCTTCTGTGGGAAAGAACCATTTCTTTTGCAAAGTAAAGTCATAGAACAGTTTGGGTTGGAAGGGACCTTTAAATGTCACCTAGCCACCCCTCCTGCAATAAGGTGGGACATCTCCAACTAGATCAGGTTGCTCAGAGTCCAACCTGACCTTGAATATTTCCAGGGATGGGGCACCTACTACCTCTCTAGGCAACCTGGTGCAGTGTTTCAACACCCTCAGCATAAAAAATGCCTTCCTTCTATCTAGTCTAAATCTTCCCTCTTTTAGTTTAAAATCATTACTCCCTGTCCTAATAAAACAGTCCCTGCTAAAAGGTCTGTATCCATGTTTCTTATAAGTACTTTAAGTACTGAAAGGCTGCAATAAGGTCTCCCCAGACCTTTCTCTTCTCCAGGCTGAACAACCCCAACTGTCTCAGCCTGTCCTCATAGCAGAGGCACTCCAGCCCTCTGATCATCTTTGTGGCCTCCTCTGGACCCACTCCAACAGGTTCACATCCTTCCCACGCTGAGGGCTCGTTATCCACCTTTTGTTTCCATAGTAACCAAAGGCAGAATTAATGACAACTGACTCTTGCAGAGCCATTTTGCCAGTCTTCTAAATATTGAGACCCAGAAGAATGCTCACGATCCATACTACTTTTTACTAACTGCTTACTCTTTCTATGAGCATGCACCACAATGAAATCAAATAAGGAAACAAATGCAACACTTCAAATATAAACAGGTGAATTGCTTAACAAACTTCATTGTTACTGTATGATATTCTAGAATGAGTATCATTGTCTATAGCAAGAGGAAGAGGAAAGATTAAAAGATATATCATAGTATTTGTATTTAGACCAAGTGTCTAAAACCCTACTGTCTACCTGCAGCAAGGGTTATTAAGACTTGCGAAGAGTTAAAAGAAAAAATTGTGCATTGCTGATACTTGCTTGCTTCTGGCAAGTCATTACCTGCAAGATTTCAAGAGCTGGAGTTTACATGACATTTAGTAGGATGGATCTGTGTTATAAAACATTGCAAAATTGCTTTTTGAACCTAGTTATTATTGCAGTAGCTCAACCTGTATACCAGTGAGCAAATACATTAATGAGAAGGATTTAAAATCATTGCTTTCTAAATGTTTTTCAGACTTGAGTTACACAGCAAGGAGCTCTGCTGAGGCAATTCTCAGTAGGTGATTTAGTTTTAGCATATACCAGTTTAATAATCTGAATGAGCCAATGGGAAAAGACTTATCAGAAGAAATAAGTGCTTTTATGGCTCTGCTATGGGAGCCGATCACATTATCAACAGCACCAGACAGGCCATTAGTCTAAAGCTTTTGGACACAGTTTTATTCTGTACAAATCAATATTTTCATACTTTCAACAATAACATAGTAAGAAGCATACATTCCAGCATGTGAATAACAGACAGATGAAAACCAAAAATAATATAAAAGAAAAAAAGGAATTACCTTCTTCCAGTTTTTTGCGGTGTACTGCAGTCAGAATGTTTAACTGAAGTTGATACTTTTTGCTTCGGCAGGATTATTTCTTTAGCCTAGAATAAAAATAGACCAAAAATAAGTCTCATAACAGTTGATATTTATGCTCTCAAGCATTTTAATAATCTCTCAAAAAGAGAGAAATTAAGAGGGTAATTTTTTTCTTGTGACATTTACTCTATTAGATTTTAACACTTGTCACTCAGCATGAAACACATGCATAACACAATTTTAACCAAATTATCTGAATGGAGTTATATTCAAATATATATATAAGTATATGTACATATGTTTAAGTATTTAAATATATATATTTGTATTAAAATATATGCTGTCTAGTTTAGTACCACGTTAATAATGCACATTACTGATTTTCTCCATAACTAACTGGCTTATGATGTGCCTCCCACTTGCATTTCTGTTCTGGTATCCATGTGGTAGTTCAGACATTTTTTAATAAAGAATCTGCTGCAGTCTGGACTTCTCACTTTTTATAAAAGGGATTAGTGAACACAAACTCCCTCAGCTCTTCTGCTAAAATTCTCTAATTCAAAGTCCAAGTGAATCCTTCTTCTCAAAGAAAACACGTCCATCGCTATTTGTTTGGCAGACGTGTTACTGGCAAAAGGGTAGCTCTTGCCCTTCATAATAACACTATAGGAGAGGAACCCCTTAAGCATTTGAAAGAAAGGAGAATAGGAACCACATGGTTAATTTTATTGACTATTTCCTAGTACAACTGTTTTGAAAGTAATCTCTTCCAGATCACCAGTAAACTTATTTTCTCATTTCTAAAATATGCAAGAAATAAAGCAGATCCTGGAGCTTGTCATACATTGCTGAAATTCATTGTCAAGGAGCTGATTCCTTCTGATTCTGTATCTACTCTGGTGAAGGAAAGGTTGTTTCATTGGGCCTTCCCTCTCTCCTCAGCAGGCCCTCTAGTGTTCGTTCTGTAACAATAATTCATTTCTTTGAGCCCCTTGAGACTAATATTCCTTACTTGGTCCTCAGAGCACATCATCAAGGATGATGAGGAAATTTGCTGATTCTGCAATCAACAATAAAGGCTTCCTTGACAAGAAGCAATCCTGGAACTTAGGGAAGGGATAGGATTTGCCTTCTAGAACATTCATTATCAATTATCAAATATTGTTTAACCTAAGAGATCTTTTGCTCAATAGATGCCCTCCTACCTCTGCTCAAGAAAATATTTAAGTGATACTCTCTAATTTTTCTTGGTTTTGAAACAACTCCATATGCAAGAATGGTATGTGAGCTTCACCAAGTCAGTCCATCATCAAGACTGTCCATCTCTTAGTGACATTGCTCACGTGAGGATAACTGTTGTGGAACACAGAACTGCCATAGCTTCAACTGTGACTAAATATAGAACTTTGGACTCAGTCAGTAGGAAGATAACTGTGTGAAATTTTAAGCCTGTGATATACATATATAAATTAATATAATGAAGCTTTCTAAAAGTGATTTTATGAAACTGTTGTTAATATTTGCATTAATCAGAAAACAGAAAGGAGAGCTCTTTTAATATAATTATCAGAGAATTCTAGAAATGGATGTGTTACATAGAATCTAGAATATATTTGAGAAAACAGAATGAATATGTGGAAACAATATTTTTTAGCTGAGTCGTCTTTTCAGTCCACAATTTTTTCCTCCAGTGACTTTCTTCTACAACAGGAATTCCACTGAGTAACAGCGTTTCCCTGAAACACATTCATTCTGAAGCATTAATAGATTTCCAGGGTTCCCCAGCTGTATGTCTCCACATGTCTTTGACAGTAATGAAATATTACTGCATTTACCATACCTAGATAAGTGAGAATTATAGAGTGAAATTCTATCAAATAACCTTTACACTGACATGCATAATGTATACCCCTCCTATTTTTAAATTAATTCAGGAATCTAACTCATTGATCTCTAAGTTTCTAAATGCTTTTGAAGGCCTAGGCAATAAAAAGCTGTCAGAATTCATTTGTGACTGCTTGTATAATAAAGAATTAATCAAAGAGTCCAAATTTTGCTCTCTGAATCACTAAAATAAGGAAAGTGAAGTTTTAAAACATGACACAATGTCTCAGAACCCTAAATAAAAACTGCTTGCTAATAACACTGATTTTTGATGCTGTTTCTCAGACATTAATTAAAATGCTACTGCTGTAATCTACTGATGACATTTTACAAAATCACTGATTAAATATGCCAATTTTTGTCAAAGTCTATTAAAGAAACTCTCAGTTTTTAATTTTTCTGCATCATCTGCAAAGATGGCACTGCCAGAGCATAGAAGTTCAAAGTTTAAAAAGCTTCATGTCACAAATATTTTTCTCACAAAATTAAGCACGTACAAGGTAGTCACTCTCAGCTCCTTACTCATGCAAAATCTCTGTACAGATGATCACTACAGTGAAAACACTGAACTTTAAAAGCATCTCTACATCACTTCACTGAGTGTTGCGTCCTTCAGTTTGTTTTGGTGACCTTCCAAACATTTTGGTAGACACTGCTTTATAAAGACACTCATTCTGCAGTGATTTGTTGTGCAATAAACAGTATATTTAAGAAAAAAAAAATCTTTCCAGAAAAAGTGAAAATTATTTGCTTTCTTTCACTTCATGTGGAATTTACTATCTCCAACATCTGTGGTATGGCAAGGTCATCAGAGAGGCAAGGAAAGAGGTTTTGTTTTTCATTTTAAAGGCTGGGGAACTATGAACAGGCTGGAAGATGAATGGTGAAAGCTTTAGTAATCTGATCAGAAACTCACTAAAGCAAGTGAAAAACACCTACTGAATTCAGTTAGTGCTTTGTTCTGTTACTGAAAAAAGAGAGATCATATCAAGTTAGTATTGCAAGAAGCTTATTATAGGAGACTATTTTTAGGTTTAAAGCATTCTAAACATTTCTGTTACCTAAAGAATGTGTGAGGCCATTTACCTAGGTGCAAATAAATTTATTTTTATAATAATTGTTGATCAGGAACAAAATGGGTAAATACAGTGCAATATAGTCATTAGGCTTGTCTTATCACTGATATAGGCTGAAATAAGTTGCATGAACTCTATTCTTCCTATCATCTTTCTAAAAGGAATTCATATTAAATTGATGATCTCAAATGAGTATTCTCAGACATTGTTCATAACCTCAGCCATAATGTTCTTGAGGAAAAACATCTATTGGCCTTCCAGTTGTTGCTAAACTTTATTCATTCTTCCTAGATTACATCCCAATGATACCAATAAAATTGGTATGGATAGAGAGAATGTGAGGAGGACGTGAATCCCCAAAACATAGCGCGTGCACTCTAATTCAATGCTGAGGGAAGGGACCAGATTCTGTGACTGTCATACAGAGCAAAGAACAATAGGTTTGTACCCGCTACGTGCAAATGCTGCAACGCAGCACAAATCCATCTTTTGTCAGCAAATCCATGGAGTTCACAGGATCACAGACTCACAGAATGGTTGAGGTTGAACAGGACCTCTGGATGTCATCTGGTCCACTCCCCCTTCTCTAGCAAGGCCACCTAGATCCAGTACCTGGGCCTATGTCCACAGCTTTTTAGTATCTCCGGGGATTGGAGACTCCACAACCTCCCTTGGCAACCTGTGCCGGTGCTTGGTCACACCCACAGTAAAAAAGTGTTTCCAGATGGTCAGATGAAACCTCGTGTTTCAGTCTGTGCCCACTGCCTCTGGTCCTGTCACTGGCCACCACTGAAAAGAGCCTTGCTCTGTCCTCTCTGCACCCTCCCTTCAGGTTTTTATATGTATTGATAAGATCCCTTCAAGCCTTCTTCAGCCTGAACAGTCCCAGCTCTCTCAGCATTTCCTCATAGGAAAGATGCTCCAGTCCCTTAATCATCCTTGTGGTCCTTTGATGGATTCTCTCCAGTATGTCCACATCTCTTTTGTACTGGGGAGTACAAAAGAGATGCCTGCTGGCAGCAGTCCTAGTGCAGCCTAGGATACAATTATCCTTCTTCGGCAGAAGAGGATGTTGCCAGCTCATGTTCAACTTGGTGTCCACCAAGGCTCTCACATCCTTTTCTGCAAAGCTGCAAGTTTTTGCATACATTGACAGCAAAGATATTAGACCATGCAGCATTCCATTCATGCATATCTCCTGTGTCCCAGCTACACAAATAGTTTTTAAGCAAACCAAGGCAGAACTCAGAACATAACTCAGTTATTCTCTCCTCAGGTCTCACAAATATCTGGGAATCATTATATTCTGAGATGAAACAGGCTCCAGACCCTCAGGTAGGTAAAATATGTAAATGTAGCTAAAATATCAAGGTAGGTGAAATGTAAGTGAAATGTAAAGTTAATAGTGGAATAAAGGCAATTCTCAACCACATATGAAGAGATAGTATTCATTTTGATGATTTAGGTTTGACTTTCTAAGCAAGCAGCAGATTTGATTATCTCCAGAGACTCTTTGAAATATTTACATTTTCTAAGGCATTGATTATCCACAAAGAGACTTGCAAGACGTATGAGTAATAAAAGCAGGTTATGGCATAAAAAACTGATAGCACTTAAAATATCCAAATGACAAGTAAATAGTAAAATGGCAAATGTCAAGGCCACAGTTTCAAAGATTTAGGCTTAGGAAAGCATAAATTCTTATATGAGTGAATTTTGAACATTAACAAAATACAGATTTTAACCAAGTGAGTACAATTTTCAGCATTCTTCAAGCTCCTGGTGAAACTGCGTGCTTGATGCTGGAGTGACAGTTTGTGATTTAATGAGAGGCTGTCCATGTAGGGAAAGACAGATGGTATGGGACTGGAGCATAGAAGAAAAGATAGAAGGTATAGAACCACAAGTGGAAAAAGCCAAAAGCTGAAAAATAGCTTTTTACTTACAGCTACTAGTTGCATAGTCTTAGAATTAAATCAAAGCCCAAAGAGAAATAAATGACCCCTAATAACAGCTGAAGGTTACTCCTTCAGAAGAAAGTGCTGCAATTGATATATCCTGGCAGACTCATATGTGTCTCACTGCTCCTACACAGCAGAAAAACTTACCAGAGGCCAGAAGGGTAAGGCTAAAGCACTAAGAATTTGTTTCTTTCTGAAAGCCAAAAATATATGATGTAGTCCCAGAGGCCTTCAAAGCAGCCCAACCCTCCAAAGGCATAATGGTATAAGAGCATGATGCTAAAGTTGATTAACCTCTACCACAGCTCCCAGAACCCCACCATTCTCACCTCCAGAACTCCACCTTCCAAAAACTTCCAGCTCCCTGTCTGCTCCAGGCCCTTCAATCCATCTCTGTTCTTCCTGCACATCCAAGAACTCAGTCTTACAGCAAATGACATCAAGTCCCACTTTAAATACCTACCTGTTTCTGCCAGCATCCTACCAGTTAAGCCCCAAAGCCTAAAGGTACCTCTACCCCATGTCTTTTAATCTGGCTCACACTACTGCATATTCCCTCTATTTAAACTCTAATGGCCTCTAAACTTCCAACGGCTGCTGGCTGGCCACCTGTTATCTCTCTCACTGCCCACTTCAGTAAGGCAAGGTGACCTCCATGTCTTCAGCTGTTCCTCATTACTGGTCATTCCTTCTCTATTCTCTAATTTTTTGGCAGACGTGTGGGAATCAGTAGGAGATTATCTGATTCCACATTTGATTCTACCTTATTTACTCATTATGTCATCAGCTTAGGTATCCAGGGTACAAGCTACATTTACTGAAACCATAGGACGACAGAGTGGAGAGGGAATAAAGTGGACACAGCTATCAGTTTGCTCTCATTTGCACCACAAGAACTGGGCTGGGCAGGGAAGAGGGAGAATACAAAACACACTTTAAGCCAATTTGGTTTTACTTGCCAGCAGAATTCACTCAAATCCTGATCAGCACGACACTGTACAGGCAAACACTGGAGCACGGGTGAGATGGGAGAGTACAGAGTTAGAAATACTAGTGGAATATGACTTCTACTGAGGTTTCTTTAAGTACCAGGGACTGCTGTGCAGCATTTTTCAGTTAAAACACCACGTTGCCACAACCTTCTTGCTCTGTGATTACATAAACTTGTTACAGCTGGGCCATGGATCCTTTCCAGCTGGGGGGAGCATGAAGGGAAAATTAATTGAGCAATTCTTTTTCTGATCACCTGAGACACGAGAGTACTATTTCATTCCTGTCCTTGAACCAAAAGGTAATCTTCATATGTGTGTGTGCCACAAAAATTTTGAAAAATTGATCTGGTTTTGTTACTTCATGGGTGGAAAAAGATAGTAGGTAACTTGCTTATTTGCAGTTATTTGAAAAATCCATCTTTTTACTCATTTACACAATACGGCATGTTTTGAAGAGTCTCTTTTCATATATAAAAAAACTGGTTTTGTTGAAAATAAAGGAAAGACAAGGATGTCTATAATTAGATTTTCATAATGATTCTTTAAAGAGATCTTAATTCTTAAGGTTTAGCACTATGATTAAATTGCCTTTCTGGAATGTTCCTTCTTTGGAAGATATGTCCTGATGGGAATGGCTAGACTGAATAGCTGTAGCTCACCAGATGTTACCTGTAAATCAGAAACATTCCCAAAGCACTCACACATTTTAAGTATCTTTGTATGATGCCTCCTCAGATTATTTTACATACCTTTGGCATGCTGACAACTAAATGACCGGTTGTTTGCGATCTTTTAGCAGAGCTGCTGTCTGGCTTCACTTCCTCAGGGAGCACAAGCTGAAATGGCTATGAGAAATTATGCAATTGGAGTATATAATTCTAAAATAAACTTATTTCTTTAATTTTATTTTTCACCTGGACAGAACAGACACAGAAACATCACTGTCACATCCTTTGATCTTAAATACAGCATAGGTCTAAATCCTCTCACTTTATATGTAGTAGTACTAATCCTAATAAATGATTAGCACACTAAACAGCTTTTACTTACAAGTCAAGTCATATGTATATTCCTGAATTGCTGTCATTCCTGAAGTGACATTTCTAAAGAAGGTTATGAAGCGATGCTTGACTTATATTAGCAATTAAATGAGAAAGATTATCCAGCCTATTTCAGACATAAAGTAATTCTGAAGTTTTGTTTATGCAGTTGGTACAGTCAAAAATAGGGATTTTGGTTTACTGTTTAAGCTCTTTGAATTTTTTTAAAAAAATTGATGATAAAATTAAAACCACTGAGAAGAAAGAAAACTGAAATGACATTTTAAATGCCCTTTCAAAATATACATGCATTTGTTTCTGTCAGTTATAAATTCCAGACTGTGAAATTGCTAAATTCTAGCCTAGAGCAACTAGCAAGCTCTCTTAAGTGAATTATGGTACACTGTGTGTGGGGAATAAGAGAGAAGGAGGGAAAGAGTGAAATTTCATTTCAGGCTATGCCCATCTTCTGGTTAGGACTTCCCCAATTCATGTGTGGTCCAAAATAATGTAAGAATAAACAAGCATTTTTTCTGCATAAGTGTACATGGCTGGTAAGGCATAAAAGTCAGATGCAGAGTGCATTGAATAACTATGGTAAGGATTAACTCTTGATTTCAAATGAATGTAGTAAGAAAAGACTAACCTTTCCCTTCACCAGTACTCGTATGTAAGTTGGCTGGACATCGACATCAAGCAGAGAAGTGTCCAAATGTCTTCAGAATGAGATATAAATAAATTAATCAATCCACAGTACAGTCCACTAAATAAGCAGTGCAGACTATATTGCTCTGAAACAATGATTTCACAGCTTATAACCTACAAACTTTAACATCAGTGACTAAGTTCTAGGAAATATTATTAGGATTTAATGTCCTTGGAAAAAAAGCATGATCTTCCTGTGCATTCATAGAATGCCAATTAAAATAATGTCTTACTTCTGTCAAGTCCACCATATCAGCTACTGTGTAAGTGCAAAAGTTAAAAATCTTTGTAGAAAATGAAGAGGTCTTTCTTCTATTAGTTTAGTGCTTTACAGTAATATGATAATTAGTTTATTTGTTATTTAAAATTGTAAAATTATTTTGCTACTTTTCTTTCAGAAGGCTTAACTAGTAAATTTATAATGAGGTGGTTTGGTTTCTTTGTGGGTTTTTTTTGACAGAATTTGCTGGAAAACAATGAACAGAGACACTTTACATTCCCAGGAAACAGTACATTTAAATTTCAGTACTGTCAAACAAAATTTGTGACTTGTAAAAGCTCCACTTTAACATCTGCTCTTCATCATGTGACACATACACCTGTGTTCTTGTGACCCTTCTTGTGACCCACTAGTGAATGCACAGGTAAGTATTCCGTATTTCCTTTCTTTTATAAAGCTACTTCTTGGGTGATTTTTTCAAACTTTTAAATTTACATTTCTTACAAGTGAGCACAGAATATTACAACATATCCAACATTATACTGCACCTGAACACATTTTTGGAGCCTAATTCTTCAAATTCAGAAACATGGAGCAGGCCTTTTTTGAGGGAAATTAATGAGTTTTAAGTGAAGAATACCTGGCATGAATAGTGGTTAAATAAGCTTGTGGGTTTCCAGTCCTTTCCTGAAGTGTGGGCAAGGCCACTGTACTGCTTATAGTATATATACCATCAAATAGTTACCAGGTTTCCTTGTCATATTTTGGCCTGGTTCACCCAAAGTTCTTCCAGGCAATGTCCTGCCACAGTTCAGGAAAAAACATGGGCCATGGAGTCTTTCCAGCAAGCAAGGAAAGTAGGACAAGGCTAACCTGCTCTGACCTGGGGAGGAGAAGAATTTAACTAGAAGGACATGGACTGTACTGGAGCACTTCTAGGGCCAGAGAATAGGCAACCCCCCCCCCCCCCCCCCTTAAAACCCTAATATCCAAATGAAGAATGGAAAATATTTTACATAGGTACAAAAGCACAGGTGTGGATGAGACCTGACTGTGAGCTGCAGAAAATATCAATTCCAAAAAGGACTATTAGTAACAAGAGTCCTCATTCAGGAGTAGCAGAAGAGTCTCAAAAGCGTTTGGTTTATTCAGCTTCATTTCTTTGGCACAGACTTCAAGATTGATTCAGTTACCCCCTATGTTATTTGTTTGCCTCTTGAAAAGTCCCCATTACAAAGAGTAGTGTTCTGAAACTTAAGAATGTCAAAATTAAGAGGGAAAAAAAATACTGACCTGTAAACAGCAAGATCCAAGACGATCTGGTTGTTATCTTCATCATCTTTCAATGAGAAATGAAGCCTAGTAATAATGACAAGAAACACCTCCAGGATAATTACAATTAGAGTAATTCAAATTCAACTGCTAGCAATTTCAGCTGAATACAAATACAACAATATGTAGACATATGTAGGCAATATGTCACACGATAATTATAGAAAGAGTTGCAATTTTCCTCATGAACAGAAAAAAATACTGGCATTTGAACCAAAGTCATTCTAACATTTATTTTCTGTTCTCCTCACCCAACCCACAAGAAACTCACAAAAAATACTGCTGAAGGTCAGTTAAAATTAAGATCAGTCTGTCAGTGCAGAAACAGAGACATCTGCTGGTGAAATCTGTCTGCTCGATTAACATCTGCACCGAAAAAAGAGTTCATGAAAAGCCTGGAACTTGGTAGTTCTAATCTTATCATAAGTTTAAAAAAAATGCATCTTTTTTCATAGCAATTAATTTGCATAGATTATAAATATCTGCCTGTGCATTTCCAAAGTAAAGCATGATTTGCACAATATCCTTGATTCTAAAAGCTTTATAATATTTGTTGAAAATGAGACTGTGGATTGTATTAGCTGCATGTTTGTGACCTGATGGCTGAATTCTTAAAATTGTGAAGGAGTCTTACCAGTTATAAATTGAAAACAACATCTATTACTAAAACTGCAAGGAGATCTAGTCTAAATTTACAAGTTCTGCAGTTCTGCTGATATACTCAAATATTTCTCATGTATTAAACTACAGAAAAAAAAAAAAAAAACCAAAAAAAAACCCACCTATAAATTAGAAGATTTTTATAATGTAGTTATTGGTATAAAATGAGAGGGGTTTTCTTAATGCAATTTATCTGGAATGTTTCAGTGACATTAAAATGTTTAGATACTTTGGGTTCAGGTTACAGAAGCTCAGATGTTAACAATTTAGATGATACATTTTTTCAACAATAACAATATTTGCCAGATACACATTTTAACTCTTTGATCTCCTGTATTCTGATACAGCCAACTTGCAAGAAAGCTTATGGAGCTTTTAGCTTATGGGTATTTTTAATGGAAAGCTGCAAAAAGTACAAAACGGCTTTGTTTCCTGTCTATGTTTTTTCTCTTACTGCATCACACATTTTGAGAATTCAATAAAACACGAAGGGTGAGAAAGAGAAAAAAATTACAAATTTTTCTAGGAGGAAGCTTAATCAGAATTGTTCTCAGCAGAATGCAGCCTTGCTAACCTTCCAAAAGAACATCAGAGAAGCTTGGACATTACTGTGGACATTAGACTTTCACTTTGAAGCAAAAACTTTGGAGAACACCATCTGTCTACTTGTGTCTCTTTATTTATGTCTCTCCAATCCCCTGCCAGATTGTGCTGAAGGGCTGTGATATTCCTGCTGAAGCCGTGATAAAAACTGCTCGTTGATCTGGCTTTACATGGGCACATCCACAGACTAAATTCCAATCCAGAAATCTTGGGTGACACAAACAGGACTGCTACTAACAGAGAAATCTAGGGGACTGGATTACTTTTTAAAAGATAATCAGAGCTTTATTCCAAATGCCTCTGCTTTTTAGAGGCAAAATCAAATTTTAGACTTCTCTCCTTTGAACTAGAAAACTATTTTAAAAAAGCTTCAGTTAATGAATTTTTATCAAAAAAAAAATTACATCAATACATTGGTAAGTAACTTCTGGTACGGATGGAAAAAAACATGAGCTCTTCTGTCACTACCTTTAATTTTCCATATACCACTGAAAATTATGCACTGATCCTGTAATGTAAGTTTTCAAATTCCTTGAATTTGAAAGGATTTATAAATTACAAGATGTAGAAAGCATTCTTCATTCTAAACATATTCTTAGCTTTGATTTTGCAGCTAAAGCAGTCTTATGATAGAAAAACTTGTTCAGAGGACAGCAGACAGGTATGTGTCCCTTAGTAGGCCACTTGATTAAGCTCCTATAGGAGGCTCTTTGAGGAACTGTTTATAAGGAAACAGTGTTTGGACTCTCTATCTCCTGTTTTCCCTTAGAAAAGAAAGGTTTGGTTCAAGTGAAACCAACAGTACCACATGGCTTATAGCCCTGGAAACTCATTCCAAAACACTTGAATACCAGGTGCCTTTGTCAACGGATAAAATATAAGAGACTTCCCTGTATCACCAGCTTCTGTTGCTAGAGACCTCACTCAGTGTCAAAGGACCTCATGTCATGGGAGTTAATTACATATCCTTCCTAATTCTAATTTTACATCTGTCATCAGAGGATAGAATTATTTTGCCCAGAAATAATAATTTAAAGTGGTTACTCACACACATTTATCTTCAATGGTCGAATTGGTTAAACTTTTTCAACTATTAGCAAGATGCTCCAAGAAAGAGACCCTTACCATAGAAGGGAAAAGAGTAAAATGTCTTATATATTTTACAGAAAAACAAGTTTTTCTATCATCAGAGACCAAGATGTTAAATTAAACAACCCTCAGCACTTCACTCACTGAAAACTAATTCTTTTTCCAGCATCAGAACATAATTTTAGAGGTCAGTTTCCCCACCAGGAACATAATACTGCAATGGGAATTTGTCAGCCCTTTAATTTTTGTATTGTCACATATTTTGAAATAGTTGCCCAAATCCTCTGTAGAGAGATTAGTCTGTTTAACCTCGTAACGTTACATACTTAGGCACATTCACATTCAGAACTTTTCCTTCTGCAGTGACCAATGGCCGAAGAGGCTTCTCTTTCTTTTGTGATTCCCTTAAAAAAACAGAAAGAAAAAATGGTTTATAATTTCACAATCTGGTATTTTATGTGTCATAGCAAAAAAGAAGGAAGAGGGTGGTAAGAGGTAAAAATTATCTGGTATCTGATGTTAAGGATACAACTTATTTTGAAACAAAACAGGTTATATCAAATGTCTAATTGCACATCAAAAGCATCAAGTAAAGATGAGCAAATGCTTTGTAATATCATGTTTTACATTGGTAATAACTTCCACATGTCACAATGTCCATTATCCAACAGTAACATATCAAATTTATCTGGTCTATCTTAAGAAATCAGTGGCTTTCTTAAACATATGAAATGAGGGGTTTTCTAGTTATGAATGCTCATAATAATCATGTGGTATTGTTACTGTTAGTTGATTTGATACATGTGCAAACAATTCTAAAAATAAATTTTATTCATGCTAACTTAATTACTTTTACTGAACAAAAGCTTGACATATCTCTAAATAGCATGTCTATCAGTCACATGTCCTCAGTTTATTATCAATTGTCCAACTACAACCCAGCTGGCAAATTTAACGTGTACTAACAGGTCATAAATAGGTTCAAACTTAGCATTGGTCTCATTGAGTTAACGTCAATTTTCTACTGAAATAAATATCCTTTGTACTGATTAACTCACATTAAAGTTCAATCTCACCATCCACCAAGGATGATTTGAAGTTGTCAGGGGCACTTTTCTGTTCTCACCTTTCTCACGTTACCTACCAAAAATCTCACTACCAAAGCAAAATGAACTGTGAAAGGATTCCTTTAAGTTGTTTTGAAATTTAGACCAATCCAGAAAGGAATTATTCTGTCTTTATTATAATGTTATTTGGACTCTCTTTGAATGTTTAGAGGGAAGCATTTGGAACACATTTGATCTTGACTAGAGCAAGACATCCCCAAAAAACCAGAATTCTAACTAGCTAGAATCTGGGTTTCACAGCAGTTCTTCTGGGAAAGTGCTAGACCTTGAATTAATAATAGAATCAAGTAATGCAGACTTCCAGACTTCTTGGAGAGTTCCCTAGAACTGATTTTTTCAATACTGAGGCTTGAAAAATCTTTTTAAAAAGCATGTCCTTAAGAAGAAGAGCTAGAAAAATCTCTGGCACAAATGCTGTTATATAAGCAAAAGAAGAAAAAAAAAGAAAAAAAGGAAAAGAAAAAAACAAAGACATTACAATGTTTGTGGAACTGATAAGCTGGCAACAACAAAATAACTTTTTTTGCTAGCATCTGCACCTATTTTCCATGCTCAGCAAAAAAACTTTAGAAAGTTTTAAAGGCTTTTCAGAGGCCAGACATCTTAAGATCCACCATGCCAAAGAGCAAAGATAACACAAAGAGTGTTATTACTCGGGATGAATATATTTGATAAAGTATGTGAAAATTTTTTTAAGTAGCATAGAAAAGGTGGCTCAAATGCCACTTGTGCAAAAATTTTCTAGCATGGCCTATAGGGCATTTCTGTAATGCAACCAGCTCTCTGGATAAATGCTTTTAGCAAGAATATTAAACATTGAGCTACCCCAAACATTAATTAACTGATGGAAACTTCTGAGGTCCATAAAACTGAGGTAAAAATAGAAATTATATTTTAATACTCTGTTTGAGAAAAACAAAATAAAAGGTATCATAAATATATTTTAGAAACTGAAACAAAACAAAGTGAACAATCTGACTATTTTACTTAGATTTTATAAGCATATTTGCACAGGCAACGGGGATTTAAGCTGCCAGTTCTCAGTAATATTTAATGTGAGGCAGTCACCTCCCTCTACTCTGTACCTTTGAAAATTTTCCCTTCCTCAAGTCATAGAATACATCAAAAAATGAAAACATACCTTATGTTGTCTTTAGCTCTCCGTTTTTCTTCAATATATCTGTGAGTTTCTAATCTAGACTCTGGAGTATACGGTGTAGGCTCCTCCCAAAATCTTCTGTCTTCTTCATCATCTTCAGCTGTTCTCCACGTTTCTTGTTCTCTGCCTCCTTCTGCCTGATGGCTTGCTTTGTTGTGTAGAGAGCCTGGGCTACACAAGATCACATGGAATATTATCCCAATTAAATGAAGAAAGAGTAACAGTAGTTGCTAATGAATTCTTACAATAATATCTTTTTAACCCAATAATAATAACTGTATAATTCCTACCAAGAACAGTATCTTATAGATTTGGACAATATTCTCTGTTGTGCTTCTTTCATTAACCAACAAAACATATTTTGACATAATGTTTTTCACAGACTTAACTAAGAAATGATACTATGGTTATGCCTAAGATTCTGAAAACCCCGATAGATAGTTCAACAGATTGAATTTCAGGAACAACATTTTCAGATACCCCTGGTGAAAAAAAAACCTTCAGGGCATGTGATGTTTAAGTATTCCCAATATCAATCAGCAGCAGATTGGAAATTTTATAAGGTAGTAACATTTTACTTAGACATTTCCTCAGGGTGATTTTGGAGCCTGAATCACTTTCCCCACCCTAGCTCTAAGCCTCTGTAATCTTTAGAAATTCTCTATCAATGTAGAGAGAAAACTAAATTTATATTATAGATATGATCTGTGAGGATCAAGTTCTATAGCAAGCTCCATGGAACTTAGTCTGTATTGTATTAAAAGTAAAATGGGTGGCAACTGCAGTGGAAGATGATCCCAGACAAAAATCCTTCTGCTATCCAGGTAATCTCAGTGATATCAGGTGGAGGAAGTACAGAAATCAACATTCCATAACCTTTTGCATCTCAAAAGATCTACAATATTCCATTCCAGTCTTCATATCTAATAACTATAAAGCAAAACAAATTATAGGTGAACAGCTGCTTTCTCTGGAAGCCCTGCATCACCTTAAATAACATTTTCCAGCTGTTCTCCTGAAAGAAGCTATCAATTACATTCTTTTGGCACCCAGACAATTTAGATTGGAGTTTTGGGACAAAAATTCTATTGTACTGTCTGCAGGTCAGTAATTCATTATGTTTGTAATTAATTATATTTTTCATTAGAGATAACATGCATGATGAAAAATAATTCTGCTAGAATCAACAATAAAGACAAAAATATTTAAGTTTAGTTATATAAACTGTTTAATGAGGAAAAATAAAATTCATAAAGAAGAAAGAGAAGAATTATGTTTACTCACGAACTGTTATTGCTGATACCTGTTAAAATCGAGCTTAGATTTCATTTGATTTTCTTTCTTGTCCTTTCTTTCTTGCATTCTTCTTTGAGCCTCTTCTTTTTCTCTGTCCCTTTTAAGAAGGTAAGCTTGTTCCTGCTCTCTTATTTTCTGTTTCACTTCTGGATAGTTTTGAAGTGCTTGAATCCTCTCTGAACGTCCTATTTCTTTACTGTCCAAGCACTTCCCAAAGGGAAAAAAAATCAATATAGGTATGTGAGAACTTTTCAACATATTCAAATCAATAAACCCATTAAGCTGTAGGTTAATTGTGATAAATTATTTTCTGTACAAAGTTAAAAATATGCCTTTCAAATGTCAATAGCATTATGTAAATTATACCGTATTAAAAAAAAATAATTAACAATAAGTTGCTATTCAGATCTGAAAATGCTTTTGTGTGTCTGAGAGCTGCTTTTTGCATTTTCCAGGCATTTGAGTTGGTCTTATTAGACTATGCAGTAGAAAGAGTCCCTTCAGCCATTTCTGATATTTGTCTGACCTTGATTCAGCTCATGAAACTATTATGAAATTATTAATTTTGATGTGATAGTTTATTGCCAACTAAGTAGCTGAATATACCCCTAACAAGATCAGCAAGCATCTGTGCTTCTCCAGGGGAAATTATGGGAGCATAGATCAGACTGGGACTGCCTGTTGTGATGGCAGGAAATCTTTACATCAGTACATCATTGCACAAAACCTCAATCTCAAAGTATCTATTTACAGTTGATGCCATACAGTACATTTTTACATCGATTTCTGTCTTTCTACTTACTCACACTGTTGGTTTGGTACATATTGTGGTACGGTACCACCAACCTGGTAACATTCTGCAATCATGAAAATAGTTTAAAAATACATTGTGTATATAAAAACAAAAGAGGAAAAAACCCAAAATGGTACAGTTGTGAATTTATTTTTTCAGAATTCTCTTTAAGGATCTCCAATGAAAATGATGGAAAAATTAACAAATGCATGTGGTTCAGTCAAAACAGGAGTAATTTATTATCACATTATTTACTCTAGCCACTTATTTTTGAGAATATAATTTAATTTCCTTCAGAGAGTAAGAAAAATACACCCCATTTATCTACCATGGGCATTTATTTTCTTTGGGATTAGTATATTCAGTCAACAATCCTGGTTATTGATTTGGATATAAATTTAATTTTTAAAATCTTACTTTTAATTGATGAAGAGTTGCTACCACATACTGTCTATAACCTTCAAATTCAGTACATGGGTTACCCACTAGAAACAGTTCATTCAGATGTATATTATATTTTAGGGTTTCAATACTGGTGAGCTCGCCAATGAAATTTGCCGTTAGGTCAAGTTTCTTCAGTTCTTCACAACCTGGTAAAAAAAAACATAATTCAATTTGTTCATAATATAAAAGTACACACACATAATTGGATATAAAACTATCTGCATTTGTTCTCTGTATACTAATTTCACCCTATTAGAATACATCCTCTCCTAGCCACAAGTGAAATAGTAACTCACAGACTAAGTTTATGAGGTCACGATACTTATAGAAAGAAAAATATTTTAATAAAATACGGAATATCAAAACTTATTATAGATTTTATCACTATCAAAACTTTGTGATCTGTTCTTGTATACTAGATGAGCTATTAAATTTTTCATTTCCAGATAAACTAGGTTTTAGTTTTAACAGTCTGATTGTCTTGGTACCCCTCCTCAATTGAGTTTAGGGTAAGGTATGGCTAAAAGAGTGTCTAATTGCTTCAGGAGAGCAGGATCAATTATGGGTTTTATTTCTGTAATTGTTAGCCCTAGATAACATTACTGAAGAGTAAAGATAAGCTTATCTAAAAATTGACTCCAAGTCAAGCTGAGGTTTCCACTCTATGGACTCAGCTATTGAGGCAAATACTTTATCGCTGGTTAAATTGCAAACACCAGCCAGAAAATGTTGTTTGTTAACCAAAATAATTCATTATAAATAGAAGCTCTAAATTAGCTAACAAGATGCTCTGGAAAATCTGGGTGCAAAATTTATCAGCCTCTCCTTTTATCATAATCTCTCCATGAGTCATAACCTTGACTCTAAGAGTAAAAATGTTTAGCTAAGAGCAACTTCAACTTTGGTGCCCATCACTGTAATCACTTCTTTTCCTTTGCAGGTCTATTTGGCAAGTATTTTATGCATAAGGGAACTGCAAGAAAATAAACAGCTCAAAATGATTTATTATGGATTTAAATAACCCAAATTTTTGCAAGGCTCACTCCCAAAGGTTCTGACTCCCGAGTAAATGACAAATCAGAATGATAAATAATGCTGCCTGATAGAGGAACTTAAAACTTACTGGCATAAAAACAGATGTAAATTTCTCAACTGATCCAGTTGAACATGTCCCTGCTCATTGCAGGGGGGTTGGACTAGGTGATCTTTAAACTTCCCTTCCAACCCAAACTGGGAAATTATTCTCTACTACGATTCTATGAATTACAGTGACGGGATAAAGGATTAAACACAGAAAAAATGGAGAGGACTTCATGGAATGACAGAGAAGTATAATCTATAAAACCATTTAAAAATACCCCAGATTGCCAATGCACCCTCTGTAGAACCTGCTTCTGTGTGACACTTGGTTGCTGAAGTGAAGATGACTGCTGAAACATTACACAAGAGGGACTTTTTACAGCCTGCATAGCATTAAAAAAAAACCCTTGTATTGTTCCATCTAACCTGCATAACAAATGATCTTATCTTTAGAGAGGGAAAAACACTAATTTCATCAAAAATACAGATTCTTGGTTTGCAAAGTATTGAAGAAAAGAGCTATCGTAGCCGGCAATTCTGGTGAGAGAGTACGCAAAAAGCGAGTTAAAATACATTTCAGGATGTTCAATGACAAAACTGCAGCAGTAGCAGCATTTGCTACAAAGAAGCATTTGTTGAAACTCTGCACACAAAAAGGCTCTTTCTGAGAATCAACAAAGTATCTTTACTTGTGGACATACTTAATGGCTTCCACCCTTTTTTTTTTTTACACTGTCACAACTGAAGTGTTTCTATATGAAAAGGCAAAATGGTTTGTTTAAAATCTGACCTTCCAGATTTTCAATTCTTTCAATATTGTTCAAAGCTACATTTAAATATTCCAGCTTCTTCAGTTTTCCCACATTTTCTGCAACAAAACAGAGATCTGTTATTTCAGTTTTCTTCATTGGAAAAGCCATTAACATTTTAATTTCTCACTTGACTCCAAAGAAACAATAAATCAGAAAAACAGGAAGGAAAAATCAGAATATGTATCAGATTATTGGGCATTAATATTTTAATATTAATGAAAAGACAAAACCAAAAAGATCTCTGAAAACACAAATTAACTTAAAAAATAAAAAGAAATAAGGAAGGTTATAAACACATTTTTTTTATCACAATTTCCCAAACCACGTATAGAATGCAAGAGGGCTGGCCAAAAAACATGGTGACATTTGACATGAAACTCAGAAATGATCAGCCATACTTAGTCAAGCTTTACAAAATTAGGGTTTTACACTCACTTTTATATAAAAGATTGGCTTCTTTAGTACACATTTAATTTTTAAAGACCTTTTATCTAAAGGGTTAATACAAGAAATCTCCTTTGCTCCCATCTTAAAAAATTTGCAAATAAGGATTTATATGGCTTTAGTATGAACAAAACAAAGACACCCAGCATCACCACAATCTGGAATCTAAGCAGTGCTATATATTATACTATATTATTAGCAGGTTCCCAATGCGTGGGGCTGTGTCAGAATGGCCAGCATTTCCTTCTGTGAATACAGAAAGGGAATAAAGAGGGAATAGGACCTTCATCAGTCTCAAAAATGTCAAAAAAATGCAAATACCCCTCAAGATACATGACAGGTCAGAGACATACATCTAAGACAAGATAGGTAGTATTAGTTGTGTCACAGTTCACCAGTTTCTCCCTACTGTTGTGGGGAGATGTTACAAAGATCTGACTGGAAAACCTATCCAATGAAATTATGAAGACTCTAATTCACAAGCTACACTGATTAACTGTTGTACAAACTGTCCTGCTCAGACAAAGAAAGAAATCCAAGAAGAGGGAGCTTCTCCTAACCAACACAGCTCAGGTCTACAGCTTAATTAGTTGTCTAGGCTCCTCTACAATCAATAAGGAGAAACGGGCTCTTCATGGTGCAATTTGTCTTACCTTAAATTGGCTGTCTAGAACCAGTGAACCAAATCATAGTCAAAAATACACCTTTTCTTCATCACTGGTTATAAAGAGAAGCCACAGTAACTGTCTTCAACATAGATATCTAAAAGTTTGGTGACATTAATCCTGCCACTTAGTTTACTAAGACCTTGAGAGATATTTTCTTCATAATTCATAAACATGATGAAATTAATTTCTCAGTAAGGACCTGTGCAACTTAGGTTGGCTATTCTTTTTTCTTACAGTATTTTGGTAATGGCAGTGCCCATACACATGAAGATGTTGGAGAGATAAGTGTTGAAGCCAAAGGCATCTTGTGGTTATTTTTCCATTTAAGAATAGAATCCATACAGTGGGTGCCTTACAACTTGCTGTCTGGTTGGCAGGCAAGTTGGATCTTGAGGGCTGTGTAAGGGTTTTCTTTAAAAGGAGAAAAGACCGATCACAGGAGAATCAGTGTAAAGCATTCAGCTATGATATGTTGAAATGTGCTTGGAAATGTTGTGTGCTCTGCATGAACATGTTGGTATCCACTGGGAAGACTTCTCAAATTCAGTACTTTTTCACACAACCCTATTGGCAACCCTTTTGGTCACTTTTTTTGTTACTTTTTTGTTTTTGTTCCTAAGGTAGTATCTTGGAAAGCTGTTACATTACACAAGAATATATGAAGTAGAAAGTTGCATGGTTTTCCAACTCTTACACTTAGAGTAAGTTAAGATAAAAATTGAATGTCTCAGAAATGAGACCGTTGAAAAAATCTTGTGTCCCAAAAGCAGTAATATGAATGATACACTGTACTAACCTACAGGAGATGTAGGTGTTGACAAAAGAACGAGATGCAGTCTAGTACCTTACTATGGACACAGTAATAGAGAGAAAACCAACTTATTTTAGTCCCATTTTTGATGGAGCGGAGCAGAGCAGCATAAAACAAAAACCTTATTCTCTCTGGGACAAGATTCCTCCACTGTAAGAAACGCAGATGTTACTAGTACAGATACTCCCTAGGGGTTTCCTGATGAACCCCTCCAGAGGATTTTAAGTCCTTAGCACAGAATTTCACCCGAAAACTAGATTTTCTTTTCTTCCTCTTAAGGAACTTCAAAGAAATATGCTAATATAATTTCTAAGCACTTTTGACTTTCCATTCTTCATCTACATCTGTGGAGTCCAAGCTTTTCCAGCCCAAGGCCTGATGTAGTATCTTTCCATAGAGAGCCTAGGAACCATGTGAACTCATAGCACAAAACACACACTGTAGGAAATTGTACCTTCTCCCGTGGTGCAGGAAGACCATTGAGGCTTCACTGGAAAAAGTTGCCTTTATGCACAAAAGCAAGTATTTTATCCGAATGAAAATTATTTTCATGTTAACATAAAAAGACCATTAGTATGAAAACTGAATTTAAAAATGAGCATGAGGAGAGCTAGTCCTACGATACCACAGTTCATGGCATACGCTAAACTGTTTGTCTCTCCGTTTGCCACAAAGACAGGGTATTAAAGTTAGATCTTGACTTATGAGATTTTAATCAATAAAAGGTGTTCCACACATGTTCTAGTGACTTCTATTTCAGTACCATCTTTTTCATTAAAAATTTCTCTTGCAAATTTCTAAGCTGCTTAGAAATTTATTAAAGAGACAGGGAAAGGAAATCTTATATGAGCAGATCCACAAAGGACTTTTATGTAGTTACTCTGCATTCCCTTAAAAAATATCCCAACAGTCATTTTTTTCTAATTTCAAAATTATGCATGTAAATCCATTTAAAAAGAAACATATCCAGAAAGCACTTACCAATTTTTGGAATTAGATTATTCTGAAGATAGAGAATTTTTAAATCTCGACACCATTTGTCAAGATACTCTAGTTTTTCTATTTCCTGCTGATGTAAAGAGATTTCTTCCAGTGAAAAAATTTCACAGTCGTTATGTTCTGCACGTCTTCTAACGAGATCTTCAGTGACTGAAAGAAACATTAGATGTCATATCTCCTTTTAGTCATTTTATGCCATCTGATTTATGAATATCTTATAAAAACATTAAAATCTTTTGTTTTGCCATACCAAATACATAGCCGGTAGGAACACCACCAAAAAGAAAAAAAAAATATCTGCTAGGAAAGACACCAAGTGCCAAGTAACTTCAGCCCACCCTGCCACAGTAAACATCTTTTTTGAAACACCCATGTCACCTGTAATATTTAGAAAAATCCATATGAAAACTGCTGAGTCTTCCATATGAGTGTGATACCCCTGCAGAAATTAATCCAACATCCGTTATTTTCAGCATAGCTCGGGTTGCAGATTGATGCATGTAGGCAAGCAATGGAGTGTTTTATGTTCTTTTATTTCCTGATGCCAGATGTTCACAAAAAGTAAACTAGCCACAGTGTGTCATCATATTCTTCCACCAGCACAGTGTGCACAGGAATAAGCAGGATGAATGCTGAAAGTGGGCAGATATTTTTCACTTTTTCAGTCCTTGAGGCAACACCATAACCAATTCATGCTTATAAATGTTTATGTTAGAATGAAATTTAATCCTGGGTATTTCTTAAGCATTACCAGCTCATTAGCAGCCCAGCAAAGGAGTCTCAGTGGCCGAAAGACACCAGAGACTTGGGTTCAGAGTTTTCACATGGTAATATTTAATGCCAGCCAATCTTTCAACCAACGAAAAGGCTCTGTATAATGAAGTAAAGAAATTCTATGAGAACCAGTGCTCTTGAACTAGAAGTTATTACTTCGTTTCCAGCCCACTGCACCAAAAAAGCACTAGCATTTTCCTCTCCTTGACAAGCAGTGAACTACAGTGAAGTACTGATTAAAAAAGTAGGGTTTTCTCAAATTAGCATAGGTATTTTCTTGATGGTTGATGCCAAAAAAGGCTAGTGAGCCTTCCAAAAAGACTGAAGAAAATTAAGTAAAAAGAGGAAATATACAGAGAACTATGAAAACAAATTGTTCCTACCATGCATTAATTAAAATTATTCTTTCATTGCTTCTGAGTCTCAGGGACAAACCTCTCAGGGAGGCTTTGTGAAATCATCCAGTTTTATTTGTGGTCCTGGAATGGCTGCACAAATTCACACAGATTGATCTGGTACAAGCTGGGTAAACTACGTACCAATTCAGCCCAAACTTGAACAGGGTAACAAGCCTATCTACAGCCTTTGGGAAAAAGGTGGAAGTGGTTTTGTGTATATTGTACTATTTATAGATGAGCAGGGTTAAATCTAACTTCTGTTCAACAGTTTCATCTAACATGATTTAGAGACCTATCGCAGAATCCCAGAATGGTAGGGGTTGGAAGGGACCTTTGGAGACCATCTAGTCCAACGTCACCCAAAACAGGTTGGACAGGAACGCATCCAGGCAGGTTTGGAATATCTCCAGAGAAGAAGACTCCACAACCTCTCTGGGCAGCCTGTTCCAGTGCTCTACCACCCCCAAACTATAGAAGTTTTTCCTCATGGTGAGATGGAATTTCCTGTGTTCCAGTTTGTGCCCATTGCCCCTTGTCCTTATCACCATTATATGTGATATAATATTATATAATGGTGATACTGATATTGATGTAAGAGCAATATATGCCAACATTTAAAGTATATTGGGGAAGTTAAGTTTTGGGGTTTTTTTTCAATCATGTTGGGTAGGTTTGCTGCATCTGAATAAACATCTTCCCTTCAACAGCCCATTGATTAAACCTGATTAAATTAACAGAGAAAAGATAAAAAAAATGGCAACGATAGTTACTAAATATTTTAGACTTCATAGAAAATATGAAAAACATTGGCATTTCTAATCAGTTTCTTGGCAAATATGCTGGAAATTAAAAAAAAAATATTGCCTGATTACTAATGTGTTTTGTGGCAGATATTTCATTGCTGGTATTTCCAGTGCAAACAGTATGTTTGAGCAAGAAAACAATATTCCACAATCTGTGTACATAAACGTTGGAGATAACATTATCCTCTATACCTTTTATGCAAAAAGAAGTCATATGAGATACTCCAGACAGAATTTTATTAGTCAGATTTCCTTTTGCTAATGAAAAGAAAATTGAAATGATTGTGTCAGTGATTATGCAAAAACATCCACTTTCATTACCAGACGGTTTGCAAAGCAGAGACAATCATTCCCAACAGATGCTACAGTGGAGCTTTACAGATGTGTTTTGGGGACCTGCTGTAGGGAACTGAGTGAATATTTGACATTTTATATGCTGTCTAGTTTATTTAAGAGGAATGAGGGAAACTTGCAAGAGAAAACAACAAATTATATATATAAAAAAAAGCTTTCCCAGGACATTTACAAAACACATTACAACATTACTTCTCACTGAGAAGTATATCAGAATACTATATCAGTATATAAGCAGAATATCTGATGTTGTGTGCAGTAATAGGAGAATGGACCAGTGACCTGAGAGATCACAGCTACTCTCGTGTTCTCATGAACACAGGAGGAAGTAAGAGATGGCAACAGTCAACTGGAGGTAACAGATCTTGAAGATTTTACAGCTGGGCTTCCAAAAATGACATGTTTTACTCACAAAGGAACAGATACAAAGGAAAGGATTAAAGAAATGGAAAGAATAAGCATGTGGACAGCTGCAGATATATCAATAAACAGTGGGGGAATTTGAGTTTCAGAAAACTGAAGTATTCAACCATTATTTTAAGACTCAAATTCATCCCATGCTGTTCAGGCTATGAAGCCATTCTCCTTCAGGCAGTGCCTGCTCAAAGTGGGCATCTGCCAGCTTCATGCAGAGAGAAGGAGTTCCTTTCCAAAGCACTATATTAGCCCAGCAAGGCATGGGGAGTCCAGTGACAGTATACAATCAAAACAGATTACAGGGAAAAATCACAGATGAAGGGAACTCCTCAGCAGTTTTTTTCTTGAGTGATACGTATGAGCACTCAGTATTTTCTGGCCATACTGCTTTACCTCTAAAAGATTATGGATTCATAAGTAATAGTATAGTGTATTTTAACCTCACACAGGGGTTTTTTTTTATGTCTCTGATCAAGCATCTGCATGGGCTGCTTCTACCTAAAAAAAATAAATTATCATGCGGTGTGGGAAATTTATATATTCAGGGAAAGGCCAGCGCTGACAGCTCTAGGCCCAGGCAAGAGCCACTCCATAGAGCATCTCCCCACATACAGAGGGGTCCCTGCCTGGGCCACCCCACTGCTGGGCCTCTCAGGGGCTGTTTCAGGAGGCGAACGCACCCCTGTGCTATGCTTGGTCAAATAAAATGGGTTCCTGTTCCCCGGGAGGAGAGAGACCAGACAATCCAGCCAGGCGAGGAGAGGAAGGGAGGCAGGAGGGGAGAGGGGATGTGGGGGACGGCAGCAAAGGGGGGCCGGTGTGAAGAGAGGGAACACGGTGGCCAGGGAGCGGGGGACATCCTGGGGAGGAGGGCAGGGTCCCGGGGGAGAGGAGGAAAGCGGCTCTCGGCGACACTCACTCCGCACCATGGCCGCCCCTCAGCTTCCCGCCGCCGCCGCCATTACAGGACGCCGCGCGCTGCCATGGCAACGGGGCGGGCGGGCCGCGGGCGGGCGGGAGCGCGCTGCTGTGGGCCGGGCCCCGCCCGCCCTCGGTGGGGCCTCTGCAGCCCCGGCACGCGCCGCCCCCTCACGCCAGTGCGGCCAGAGGTGCCCGTGTACCCGCCCGAAATGCAAAATTACTTAAAAATTACTTTTGTGTCATCCAGAAGTAAGATTTTACAACTCCGGCTGCTACTGGCCCCTTTCCTTGGCTGGGCAATCGTGTATGAAGTGCCTCTTCTCACGCATATATCTTTCATCTATCATTTGTATGGTATTTTTGTCCTCCTGTATATCCACCAACTAGTCTGCCTAGCACATTTTGGGCTGAAAGCGTGTTTTCCATTTGTGGAAGTGGCTTGTTCGTAGGATTCATAGAATCATAGAATCATTTATGTCAGAAAAGACCTTTAAAATCATCAAGTCCAGCCTTTAACTGCCAAGCCCACCACTACACCGTGTCCCTCAGCACCACACCTACCCGTCTTTTAAATACCTCCAGGGATGGTGACTCAACCACTTCCCTGGGCAAACTGTTTCAAAGCTTGACAACGTTTTCTGTGAAGAAATTTTTCCCGGTTTCCAGTCTAAACCTCCCGTGGCACAACGTGTAGCTGTTTCCTCTCACCCCATCCTATGCCTGTGACATGGTGACCCCCACCTGGCTACACCCTCATTTCAGGTGTTTGTAGAGAGCGAGAAGGTCTCCCCTCAACCTCTTTCTCCAGGCTGAAAAACCCCAGCTCCCTCAGCCTCTCCTCATAAGACTTGTGCTCCAGACCCCTCACCAGCTTCATTGCCCTTCTCTGGACACGCTCCAACACTGAGTTTCACTGAGTTTTTTAGAGTTGGAAGGGACCATAGAGATCATCTAGTCCAACTCCCCTGCTAAAGCAGGACCACCCAGAGCTTGTCAGAGCATGTTACTCAGGACGGCATCCAGGCGGGTCTTGAAAATCTCCAAAGAAGGGGACTCCACAACCTCCCTGGGCAGCCTGTTCCAGGGCTCTGTCACCCTTACTGTGAAGAAGTTTTTCCTCATATTTGAGTGGAACCTCTTATGTTCCAACTTGTGCCCGTTGCCCCTCGTCCTCTCACTGGGAACCGCTGAAAAGAGTCCGGCTCCCTCCTCCTTCAACCCACCCTTGAGAAACTTGTAAGCATTAATAAGGTCTCCCCTCAGCCTTCTCTTCTCCAGACTAAAGAGTCCCAGCTCTCTCAGTCTTTCTTCATAAGGGAGATGCTCCAATCCTTTTGGAGCACCTCAGTGTCTTTCTTGTAGCAAAGACACCGAGGTGCACTGAGGTGCACACTTGTAGCACCTCAGTGTCTTTCTTGTAGTCTATCAAACCTAAATGTCACCTCCTACTAACAGGAAATTCACATATAAGTTTAAATAAGGATGTAGGATTATTTTCTTTTAAATGATGAAATTAATTTATGGAGTCATTTCCCTCTAATATGGAATATATGTAATGTAATGTAATACATGGAACTCCCCACAGCCACTCTGCAACTTTCTAATTGTATTGCTATTTAGAGGGTAGGAGAAAGGAGGTGCCATTGAGTTAAAGCTACTAAGCTTTGTGGAGATAATGAGACACAAAGGAGCAGAAGTAGTTTATGCGCTTTAGTTTAACTCTGTAGTATTTGTCCAGGTCTGTTGGACAGGGTAAGTAGCAAATCCAGGCTATGGACAGGGACACGTGGCTGACTGGACGGCACCACCGCGTGGCCCATGGCCACTCCACAGAGTCACAGAGACTAAAGAAGAGCCACTGGCAAGGCCTTCCACTACGTATCCATTTATTTCATATTAAATTGCATGTCCCTTCAAATAATGACTTTTATAGCTGCACCTTTTGCCATTGCTATGAATTTTTTGCTAGAGAACATAGCTCCTAGTCAAGGCAATCATTTTAAAGAAGAAGAAAAAATCTTGTTCTTGCTCTGTCAATATTATTCAGTGCTGTGACTACATTGTATTGCATAGAAATACCTGTATTATTTTCTTATGCTAATCACACAGCAATTACCATTGTGGGCAAAACATACTTGACTTGGGGAAATTATTTAGTTTATTGCCAATTAAACAGAATAGGAAAATGAGAAATAATAACAAATCTAAAACCACCTTCCCTCCACACTTCCTTTCTTCCCAGCTCAACTTCACTCCAAACTCTTGTACCTGTAAGTCCTAATTTAAATCACAGTTTCTTATAATCAGTGTATACGTAGGTGCTGGTTTGCCAAAATTAGTTAAGCTGTAGGACTACTTGTTTGAGCAAGTAACTTCTCACTTGTGATGAGCATAAAAGAGATATTCTGTGTATATCAGTGACTGAAAAGCTCTCAGAGTGTATTTGTTTTCCTTTTGTGAAGAACAGCTTTGTTTCTGACTCAGGGCTAAACTATTCAGGAAGTCAGAAAGCAGTGCTTTGGAGCATGTGTTTGCAACAGGCTAGTCCTAACCTGGTGGTTTAGCACACATGGGGCAAGGCTAAATGCTGAAGGAGGATAATCATACTGGTTTCTTGTCCTTAAAACCACCAGCTCTTTAGAATGAGGCTTATAATCCATGACCTTGATTTATTTGGAATAACAACGAAATGACAAAGTGTAACACACCATCCTCGAGCATCCGAGGCGCTGTGCTCAGACCCTTGCATGCTCAGAACTGCAATATGGCTCTCCAAGTCATGCCCTGTTGTTCCTAACTTCCAATATACTCCAGTCAAAGGCTAAAAGGTCTGCCAGTGTCTTGTTGCCCTTGGGATACACTGAACAGCTGAACCATGACAGTTTCAGAAACGATATCTTTGTTGAGCTTCACTTTCACCACATGAAAATTCAGGTAAGCCAAAATGTTTTTAGTCTTAGCAGCATTTTAGTTTATACGCACTCAGAGTAATTTTCTGATTCAGAGAAAGTGAAAAAATGATAATTAATAAATTACCATTTAATTATTAATAAATCAATGATGTAATAATTAATAATTACATCATTGTTTAATAATTAATAATTTGATAATTCATAAATTATCATTTATTGTGCTTGCAGCATGGACACCTAAGTGTGAGCTGCTTTTACAATGTGCTTCATTGAACAAAATGTTTGCAGCCCGTACAACATCACCACAATATAAATATAGAAAGCTTGATGTAACGTGCAGGTACGCTGTTGTACAGCTTCTCAAGAGACTTTCGCATTCATTTATTTTCAAATCAAATGCAAATTTTTTATTTACATGTATTGACCTTATTGTGTTCGCTATTTTCATGCACCTATTTCTCACTCAAATTATGTACTAAGGGTTTTAAGTAGCACAAGCTCGAATTATTAGCATGAAGTGATGTACATGACAGAGAAATTTTATGAGCTACATTACAAACAGGAGAATGGAGTTGAGAAAGAAAAAATGACCCCATATGCCATGCTTTCCCTCAAGAAATTCATGTTACTGCTTTAATACATGAAAAGTTTATTTGTTAAATGTATGAAACAATGCAATATAAAATATATTTCTATGTCATGACACAAATAAGCTTTATAGTATTATTATTACAGTGCACCAGAATTATTTTGAATATGTGTTCACTCCATCAGTATATACTCGTGTAAGGTGCTACAGCCCCAGCAAATTGATATCCATGGACAAATCATAGCAGCTAAGATGCTGCAGGTCAGAGTCTTTAGTGGAAATCAGCTGACTGATACCCACTCAGAACCTGAACCACTCTCTTTCTATTTATTTCTTATTAAATTATTATTATTGGTGTGATTTTGTTGTTGTTGCTATTATTATTATTATTATTTATTATTGTTATTTTATTTTATGGTGGTAACAGTTACTTAGTAACTGTAACAAAATGAGGTTTTTGTATTCACACCAAAGTACCAATAAATCCTTTCCCAAAGTGCCCACAATCTACAGGGCAGGATATAAGATCACAAATAACAAATTCATTGAAATATATGCAATTCTTAACAATAATTTTCATTATTGACAATACCCTCAAATACAGGAAGAAATGAAAACAGGAACAAACTCACTGATAAGTTAATGCCAGCGATTAAAAAAAAATGCACCATGAGAAACCATAAAAAAGAAAGAATATAAAATGAAGTAACAGTTTTGCTCAGTGTAGATTAAAATGTACAAAGAGGTTTCAAAACACTGCAGCTAATTCACAAAAACAAAAAAAACCCAAACAACAAAACAAAAACAAAACCAAAAACAAACCAAAAGAGTAGATTCTGCAGTACTGGACTCAATGGCCATACCTGTATTCTGTACCACTGTGGTTTATTCCATCTCATTTAAATAAAAAATATTAATCTTTGTATGGTTTGGCTTCTATAAGCAATGCTTTCAAAATAAATACAAAACAGACTTGCTTACAGACTAAGGACATTATAAGATAAGGGATGCCATAAATATTATCATTTCGCTTGCTGCTGTTCCCTTCAACAGAAACATTCCCGCTGCAAAGCTCCGTGTGATACATACTCTGGAATCACCCTGAAAATGACCCTGAAATGCAGCTGAACACAGCAAGAAATAAGAGAGTATAAGAAAAGGTGTAGTGATAAAAAATAGTGCCAAATGGTTTGAGGTAATACACAGGGGGTTATAAATCTGTATCTTGAAAGTCTTCTTTGATTCTCTTTTTCTGAATAAGGTGCTATATTGAAGCTCAGTAAAAGTTTAATCACTGGGGACAGAAACCTAAAGTTCTAGCTGTTTTCTGTGTTTGTAGATGTGTCAGTTCATCATTAATCAACAAGTGATTTTCATTTGCTAGAGTTACATTTTACTATTATCTCAGGCTTGATACTAACAGAAACTGCCAATACTAATTACCCCTGAAAATTTGTATTTAAACATTTAGGTTCAAAAATTTTTTTTTAGTTTTTCATCAGACAGATCCTGGCTTCAACTTTTCATCCAAGGGGACTGAACATACTATTGTGCCTCTTTTCAGAGAAACAATACAACTCTTGCTTTTATCTCCATTAGAATATATGGAAGGGAACCGCCAAAGCAAAACAGTCTGGTAACTGAACAGAACTTTGTTAATTCATCATTAATGAATATCATGGAGGGCATATTTTAGCAGATCCTAAGAGTGTTATTCATAGCTCTTGAATTCAAATTGCCAAATTGTCCCGGAACTTCCCTCTCTCCAGATCAGAGCAATTCTAATTGAGAGTTTATATTTATTCATAGACAGATTATAGCAATTCATTTTAGATCAAATTTTTGGCAAGTTGAATCAGCTTTTTCTTCAGCAGTTTGCAGTGAACTAACTACTATACAGTGACCTCAGGTTTTTCTAGTTTTCAGCATAATCACTTCAATGACAGCAGGGTAACTGCAGTCTTAGACTTTTCTTTCAATATAGGATTTAATTTCCTAGATTATTCTTCCAGGAGATTATTTAAACACTAAAGATCTTTATAATCCTTTAATTTAAAAAGTGCATTTAGTAATGAGTATAAGTAGCAATATTGTTATATTGCTGTTATAAGTAGCAATAAAATAGGGAACAAAATATTTATATATTGCCCAGTGATATTCACTCTCAGTTGTTTCCATAGTTAAAGTAAATAAAGAAGTAGAATTATTTAATACTGACAAAATTATTCAAGTGTATTAACTGCAAATAAATATGAGGAAGAGTATTATAACTGCTATTATAGTTGCATAATACATCAGTTTTATGAAGAATAACATTCTATTTTCGCTGTCCGTTGAAACTATAAAACCTGGTCTTGTTACATCAAGTGGTCTGTCTTCATATAAAGTCAATGTACTGCACTGGGGAACAGTAAATTACTATGCAAAATTGGTAATTTGGGGGAAACTTCCCTTGTTGAGCTCTTAATGCTGAGCTTTTGATGCTTATATTCAAAATACACCAGCATATATGTCTGCTACGAAAGAGAAATCTACATTTTAACTTAATTTCAAGTACCCTTTTCCTCTTTGCATCACTTGTTAGGATCTTTGGTGCTAGAAATACAGCTGTGACCTGCTTGAGCTTGGCTTCGACACAGAGTTGAACAGACAGTGGTGTTCCAGTTTTGTTGATTCTTTCTTCCACCAGAACCTTTCGCTTGTGTGCTTTTGCTGCAGAGTTTTCAAATCCCTGTCATTATGCCTTGCCAGCCTGATTGTACCTCATCAGCAGACCCAGACCTTCCACAGGCAGAATTTTCGTGTCTGATTTACCAGCTGGGGCTGTGCAAACATTGCTTTTAGCCCACCAGGGGACAAGCAGACCAGAAGCAGCACTGGTTATAGAATGATTGGGTGGGCAACAGCATCCTCACACATTATCATCCCTGTTGCACGGGAAGATGACATCCACACTGTCCTAGCTAAAATGGCACGCAGGGAGGTATTTTAAGAAGCAGATTGTTAAAAGCCTGGAGTCACAAGATAACAGTTTTTGGCTACCCACAGGTTCTATGCGTAATTTAGTCTCTGTTGTAGCAAAGATCCAAGCTGAAAAGCAGGGCTCAGTGTTTCCAAAGTAAAGTTAATACCTGCAGGTCTTGTATTTTTGTATGTGAATCCGGGTAATTCAGATTCATCATTGCTTCTCCACGTCCTGATTCCTGGTTTTCTGAATACTGCTTTCCCTACAATAATATTTATTTCTTCCTTTTTTTCCTGGCTGGGTTTTTTTTGTTTGTTTGTTTGTTTTTTTAATGCTCAGCATAAAGGCCAAAAGGCAGTGCAAAAAAGCTTCTGAGATATATTACCCCATGTACTCAGCCACTATCCAAATCCATTATATTTGACAGCATGTGTTACAAGAAATGAATACATAAAGTACAGGAAGACCTCATTGTTATTTTTTTTTTTTGTAAAAAACTGATCTAATGTGGGTTACAAAACACTTTTCACCATCAATTTATTATCAAAATGCTTGTATGACCCTATGCCAAAGGACGCCATAGGACTTCATTGACATAAAAGACCAACAATTGTTTTGCATGACTGTTTCCAGATAGAAACCAAGAAGTACAGCCTTACTCACAGAATAAAAATAAAGCTAAAATGAATTGTATTTTGAAGGAAGAATACTAACAATTCCTTAATCTTTTTTTCCACAGGAATGTGTAACGTTAGTCATAAGGAGGCATCCAGTAGTTTGATGCTGAAGAGCTGAAGGAAATAAATATGAGGAGGAGGAAAAATTAATTTGGTTAGTGAACTCATTTCAAAATATACAGAAGTAACTACTCTGCTTTTAAGTTTTTATGAAAGGCAAGAGACAAGCTTGTTTTGAAATGCTGGAGGTCCTGTCTCTCAGTAACCTCTGCCAGTCTGTATTTAGTTTACTTCTGCTAGGCAACAAGTCCCAAGTTCTCCACTCCATCCTGTAGCACCTGCTTGGGTTAATATTGATACTGGCTTTCAAAATCAGAGCCAGCGCTAAAGTTCTGGTGTTGCAGCCCTTGCCTAAATGGTCCCACTGGTTGTGAGAAGTGCCGTATTTCGTGGCCATTGCTTGGCACACTGGAGGAGTAGGATGCATTTTTCATCGTAGGCTTTAGTAAGTCTGCAAAGTGGTCAAATGCCTGTGTACAGTTCTAAGATGTTTTGTTCTCAGGATGAACATCCTCCTCCTGAGGGCTGACTGAAAGGTTTTCCAGGTTGCATCTGCAGCTGTGCAGATGCTTTTAGATATCACATCCTGAACCTCACTCAACCAGCAAACTGATGAACAGGGCTGTTTTAGCCACACTATGAGGAATACAAAGCTGGGCACAGCTCCACTTAGTGCCTTCTTTTCATTTTTATCTATTCAAAGTAAAGAGATAAGGGAAATAATGGAGCCGGGACTGGGCTGGCTTGCTCCAACTGCAAATAAATCAGTGCTCTTGTTTTGAGGATTCTAAGCTGTATCAAGACTTAGAAATACTTGATAAACAGAAACTGGAGCCTGAGGATTAGGCTTGACTCAAAAGGAATACGGAAAAGAAGAATCTGTAAGTGTTTTCCTTCCTTCAGTGTTCACTCCTTCAGTGGAATGGTACCAATGTAGAGCTGTAGAGCACCTGGCCCTGCCGTGCAGTTTAAACTTGCAAAAAGGATGACTTTCTTTGCCCGTTACTGAAAAACGTGTTTTCTCTGGGCTGAAGCACAGCACTTGTTTAAAAGCTTACACTGTTTAGCAACTGTTGTCAAATAATAAAAAAATATTTCATCCAAATAAAATGACAAAGGAGTTTCAGAGAGCAAAGTGAAGTAATTCACAGTGGAAACTGGCAAGGGGCCTGCAGCTAAACCTTCTTTTAACGAAAAGTCCAGGGAACCTTTTTGGCACGCTTGAACCCTGTTTCAAAATAGGGCTCACCCCAAAAAGTACGGAATTTTTTCTGAACTTAGACACATACTCACCAATTCTTCTTTCTTTCCAATTATTTCCTGGAGGAAAAAAATAAGCATACCTTTTTGTATGTCTTGAGTTAAACCACAGTTTGTTATAATCAGTATATGAAGGTTCTGAATTGTCAAATTTAGTTAAGCTGTAGGACTATTTGTTTGAGCAGGTAACTTCTCACTTGTAATGAGAATAAACGAGGTATTCACTGTATACCAGTGACTGAAAGGCTCTTAGAGTGTATTTGTTTTCCTTTTGTGAAGAACAGCTTTGTTTCTGACTCAGGGCTAAACTATTCAGAAAGTCAGAAAGCAGTGCTTTGGAGCATGTGTTTGCAACAGGCTAGTCCTAACCTGGTGGCTTTGATTTCATTGGAACTAATGACATAGAAACAAGGAGCAAAGTACCATCCTTGTGTGTCTGAGGTGGTGAGCTAAGACCCTTTGGATGCTCAAAATCTGAGACTGTCTTTGCAATATGGCTCTCCAAGTTGCGCCTTGTTGTTTCTAACCTCCAATATACTCCATTCAAAGGCTGAGGTCTGCCAGAGTGTCTTGTTGCCCTTGGGATACACTGAACTCCTGAACTCTGACACAGTTTCAGAAACAATGTCCTTTTGAGCTTTACTTTTACCACATAAAAATTCAGATAAGCCCAAATGTTTTCAGTCTTAGCAGCATTTTAGATTTTACACACGCAAAAGGATTTTTTGCTGTGTAAAAGGTGAAAGGATGATAATTCATAAATCCAGCACATACACACTTGCAGGACGGAGGCCTATGTGTGAGCTTGCTCTAGAGATGTAATTCAGGCCTTCTAAATATCTAAGTCTTTTTCTCCAGAAGGATTTAGAAGCTACAGCTGTACATCTTCGAACTAAAGCAGTCTGAAACAGCAACGACAGCACCTTTATTCAACTGATCAGACTTCTAACACATCTATCAGACTACAGTCTAATCCAAAGGCAAAGCTCTGTCCTGAAACTAATGGTGCATGGGGTTAGTAGGGCCAAGTCATATCAATTCTGTAGTCCCTGGAAGGTGGTGATGAGGCATCATAGTTAGCTGGGTTTTTTTTATTTTTCCCAGTCAAATGTAAAAATTGGACTTTGTGGCTTGGGAGTGGAATTCAGTGCAAGGCTTGAATTCACACCTCTGGATTCATAAGAAGTTACTATCCTTGGTCTGTTTCTGCATCTTCATGTTGTGACATACTGGTTTATGGTTATGGTTTGTCTTCCTTTTCCGCTAACAAATAGGTGTTACAACATTTCTTGCACCTTATGAAAAGGAAGTTTTACAGTAGAAATGGAAAGTTTCTATGAATACAAGTCAGTAACGTGAAAAGCCAAATCCTCCACCAATAACTTCAGATCATGCCTTCTGTCTTTTGACATGAAAACAAGAGGAGGAATCTCTCCTTCCTCTTCTTAATATAAAATTTCTATGTTCCTCTACTCATCACATGACACTGGAGCCACTTACCAAAACTTAGTTGTTTTGAAAGATGTGTCAAGACTGAAGAAAGATGACACAGCACCATCTTGGGACAAAAGAACTGTGAAATATAAATGCAAAATCCTGTAACTGATTGAAGGTTACAGTCTGTCCCCATATGCCCACAAACTGCTCTTATTTAGCATCAATAAGAGCCATGGATATACATCCAAGGATGGATTTTGGTCCTTAATTAGTAAAATATTGTGTGTTGAATATAAAGGAAGTCTGTACTTACAAACTAAAATTATCAGCAACAAAGTGGCAGACAATCCTCCCAGAAAATATCTGAGAACATAACAATACCCATAAAGGTTAGAAAAAACCAAAGGGATGCATATTGGGCTAATAGAGGTGAAGCCTGGGTGGGAGGCGAGAAGGTTCTTGCAGATGAACCCTCTGAACTCTGGTAGGTGAACTTCAACTTGAAACTTTAAACTTCTTAAGCTATTGAGGATAATTTCATCAAAATAAAGACCTCAGCACTCCCAGACTGAGAGAAACATCCATACTGGTCACTTAGAAAGACACAGGTTCAGCTTTTTGAAACCCCTGCCCAAGCACACGTGACAAAGTAGCCACCATATCTGCATACATGTTTCTTATTTTTGTGCATATCTGTACAGCTCTGCTATTTGCCTGCATGACTATCACCTGAAAATATATTTTCACAATAAGATTTATCTAGCTCTGAAAATGTGACCCTTAATTTACATTTTATTCACCAGTTGAAATGGAGTAAGTATTATTGTCAGAAACAACAAATAAAAGAAATAAATATTACCTTGTACATATTGATATGATTAAACATGTGATCAGTGCAACCATCTGAGAAAGGACATTTCGTGCTATCCTGGATCCTAAAAAAAGATCAAGAAAAGAATTTTCATGAGTTTTCAGGAAAGTAAATATATGACAGAAGGTGTTTGTAACGACTACCTTCAGCCTGTGAGGTCAGTCCCTTCAGTTTCTTTTTAAGAGAATGTGCCCAGAGTGATTCAAAGCAGAAACCTAATTTTCATGCTCTGGGTGTCTCTCAGTTGTCGTTTTCCCCCACGACCATGGAGACACGGTGCCCTCCACGCTCTCAGAAAACAAGCTTTTCTGAATAATTGCCTGTTTTGGTTTTTGTTCCCATGCCCTTTCCTCCATTTTCCTCTTCCCTTTTTTTTTTTTCCATTTATCACTGAAAATAGGAGAGGAAAAGATGTGAGCAGGGAGAAGTGAAAAAGTAAATACTAATTTTAAGTATTTTGTTATTTTTAATCAGTTATTTAAAATGTATGCTTCAGGAAATAAATTCTATTCTGCAAGGGGCCGTATCACTATTTTTAAAGTGAGTGTTTTTAGCTCACTCTAAAAATGAGGCATATCAGAATAAGAAAGTGACACACCTGCAGTGCTCAAAGTGTCCTTGTTGGCATTTATCATAAATGGAGAGCAGGATTTTGGAGACCAAATTGGTTTCCCATGCTGAAGAAACTCGTCCTCTTCGGTGAGAGAGGCTCCATTAGCTGCTGCAGTTTGCCTTTGTGGCACAGGGCTCTCACACTCAGAAGAAAAGTCTGAAACACCTACAAAAAGTGCATATGTAACTGAGACTGCACAAAAAAAAAAAAAAAAAAAAGGAGCTTTGAGACTTTGTGTTAATTCATTTTGTGGGGGAGAAAAGTTAATTACCTAATCACAGGGAAGTTTCCAAATTGTTAGGGGTAGGGAATTGGCAGGTTCAATGTACGCAGGAGGAAATATGCAGAGTAAAGACAAAATTACATAGAGCATCACAGAATGAAGTCATTGAAACAGCCAGGTGAAAGTAGACAGTGTCAGTGTTAATGACATCAGCATAAACATCAGTGGTGATGACTTTGGATCCAAATTCAGTCTAAAAATGCCTTTTTGGCACAAGGGTTTTTGTGGACTCACAAAAATTCAAAATTCACCACTTAAAATTTTGTTGTTCACTTATCTTCTACCTGCACATCTTGGCAGACAATCCCCATAAAACCTATAGAAAGAGATACCCAACTCCCACTAAATACAGACTGCAGTGTTGTAGCTCGATTACTTGGTAGCTGGTCAGGGCTTACCAATATCGCTCTGACTGGCTTCGAGGTTATCGCATCCATCAGGCCAAGGATCATCCACGTGGGAGGAATCCAAGGTGCTGAGGACGGTGCTGCTGAACCATGAGCTGGAGGCCTCGAGGTTGAACAAGCCGGCAAGAGAGCGACGGATTTTCTTCCTTCGCCTGAATATGCTAGAAAGAAAAGCCACGTTGTCAAGGAATAGAGTTAATGACTCTTTCTGAGCAAGGACGGAGCTCTAAAGCTCGCAGGACTGACATGAACGATCCAGGTTCTGGGTGTTGTTCCTAGCTCTGTTTTTCACCCCGTGTATGTCACCACAAATGCCTGCTGCCCACTGCAGTGATGTCGGGGAATGTATTAGCAGCACGGAGTTACATCATGCTGTTATGATACTGGATACTGTGATGCCAAATGATAGTACAGTTATTGGGCTCTGATACTGCTCTGAGTGGTCTCATGCTACCCATGAATTTCACCCTATTATGCCCCATTAGGTGAGGCTTGACTTCACGGTACTTCAACTTTTTTGGACTACATTGTATATGCTTCCCTAAACTGATGTTTTTCTGAAATCAAGACAGATTTTTCCCTGAGTAAGCATTCCCTGACCAGACCTTTTTATTTAAATATACATATACACGAATATATATATATTTATATCAAATCGTATGAGGAGCGGCTGAGGGAGCTGGGGCTGTTTAGTATGAGGAAGAGGAGGCTGAGGGGAGACCTCATCACTCTCTACAACTATGTGAAAGCACACTGTAGAGAGGTTGGTGCTGGTCTCTTCTCACAGGTAATTAGTGACAGAACGAGAGGGAATGGCTTCAAGCTCCAACAGGGTAGGTTTAGACTGAACATTAGGAAGGAATTTTTCACCGAAAGAGTGGTCGGGCATTGGAACAGGCTGCCCAGGGAGGGGGTGGAGTCACCATCCCTGGCTGTGTTTCAGAGCCGTTTAGATGCAGTGCTAAGGGACATGGTGTAGGGGAGGACTTTGTAGAGTAGGGTAGATGGTTGGACTCGATGATCCCAAGGGTCTCTTCCAACCTAGACGATTCTATGATTCTCTCTATATATGTATATATACACATTTTCTTAGTGCTTATCATGGTAACACCCCATTGGCAAACTGAGCTGTAGCTCTGCTTCTTCTTTATTGCACACAACTCCACTTACAGCAACAACTGTGTACTGAGAGTTTTGGGGTAGTAAGATTAGACATGACTGAAAATGAGGTTATTGCACTCTCTAAACTAAATCAATTGAGATGTTCCCATTAAGAAGCAACGCTGATCTTATGCCAAGCAAAATGCAGACAGACACACAAATACCTCCAGATACGTCTGGAGACGTGGAAGCAATTGAGTAAAACCTGCGTAGAGTTCACTCACCGAACTAAATTCTCTTTATATGTAACACTTGTCTGGGACGGTGTCAGTGTTACGTTGCCCTCTTCATCAGACAGAAAACTCTCTTCTGTCAGCAGGTAATACCCATTAGAAAGCAGGCGAGGGCTGCGGCGACACGTGGGGAAGGAGCTGGTCAGAGGATTTGTGGAACAACACTCATAGGCAGGGTTGGCATCCAAAAGGGCACAAGCGTGACTGAAAAGGAGAATTGAAACCCTCCAGTTTAGTAAATGTCTAGACAGTGCAAACCAATTTAACAGTAATGAATTTACATTAGCAGCCGATGGGGCTGGTAATGACATAGATGTAAAATATGGGGATAATGATATTACATCTGGACCTGGGGGTTTCGGGCAGCTAGAGTGTGTTGGCATCACACTTTCCAGAGCTGCACATTACAGGAGGGCTCCGTGCCAGGTGGAGCATTTATTTCATGAACGCATGGAGCCAGCTTGAATTGCTAAGTGGATGGTGTACTTCTGTGGCTCTGCTCTTGGCCAAGGAGTCCTGCCAGATCTACCCCTCCCTGGAACTGCCAGAAAAATTCCAGTGTTTTGTTTCTCTGAGTTACTCTGCATGGAGCAAGCCTGAGTGCCCCTGAACCAGGCAGGATTTATTTGCTTTTTATAACCTAGTCATACTTAATGAAGATTTAAGCATACATGACTTCTAATTCTCACAAATCCTAGAATATCATGCAGCTAGAACAACATGGGATAAAGTTCACACTTGGTGATAGCTTCATTCAGCACTGAAATAAAATTGACTTTGAGATGAAATGTAGCACAGAAAAATATAATATGTGGTATTTAAAATAGAAGCAAGTAGTGACAGAGGTGAAAGACTCTAAATGTTGTAGACAGACCTTATCACCATGTTCCAGTATTTAAAGGGTGGCTACAAAGAAGATGGAAACTCCCTTTTTACAAGGAGTAACATGGAAAAGCCGAGGTATAATGGGTACGAGTTACTCCTGGGGAGATTCCAATTGGATGCAAGAGGAAAAATTGTCCTGTTGAGAACAACCAGCCATTGGAATAATGTCCCCAGGGAAGTGGTGGATTCCCCAACATTGGACACTTTTAAGATTCAGCTGGACAGGGTGCTGGGCCATCTTCTTTAGACCATGCTTTTGCCAAGAAAGGTTGGCCCAGATGATCCTTGAGTGCCCTTCCAACCTGGTGTTCTGTGATTCTGTGATTCTGTGATACTTAGCTCAAATGAAATTGGATTTATGGTTAGTCCTTTCTCCTCAACACCTTTGAGTTCCAAGCGGCCATGCAGTGACATCCATGGACAGAAAGGAAGACACTGGATTGATTCAATGGTTGACAGGGGTTTCAGCAGCAGGTTTAACTATCCCATATGGCACGTCACAGAGAGATACCATCATTTCAGTGGAGGGAAAAGCAGGTGGAACAGAGAGAGATATTCCAAAGCCTTGTAATTACAAAGCCAATGCTTCCAATCTCTCCAGCAGGACTTCTGAACTTCCATTTAAAGCAGTAATTAAATTAATATCAGCACTACAATTCTAAGTGGCCCAAAAGGGATTTTACAAAATCTCCAACAAAATAAAAATAAAATGAAACGAGTATAATTTTCGTCAGTACCTTGGAAAAATCTGTTGTGAGAGGCTGCGTTTTTGTTCTCCATTGAACTCTGATGAACCTGCAGAGGCAAAGGCCACATCAGAAGGAGTCGTTATCACACCCACTGACAGCTCAAACAGTTGACAGGTCCTTACTGACAGGTACTTTGTGCATATCAAAAAGATCATAAAAGTAGCTAAAAAGAAAAGGCAATTAAGGGAGAGATTAAAGGAGATACAACAGATGAAACAATGGGGGAAAGACACAGTGTTTATAGGAAACTCATCTCTACCAGGACAACATGAATCAGAGCAAGTCATAATCAGGTACTTGTACTCTGCACAGCTTACAACCTTGAGAGAAATATTTATGGACACAAATGTAATAGCTGCCGTAATTTTAATGGTGCTTTCCCAGAAATGTGCGTCATGCCAAAAATAGTACATGTGCTGGCAACAGGTACAGAGTAGAACGGAAGGGCCACCATTAGCATTACAATATATTTTTCAGATTAAAATTGCAGACATAGCACAACAGGCATAGGGACAGGGACAGTGACAAAGATTTGACAATAATATGGTGGCAGGAGACTAAGGAAATAGGATTTATCTGGATCACCACGGCTCAAGTCTGCAACGGGCTGCCAGACTTTCAGCATCTGACAGAATCAATCTTATGAAATATGAGCAATGGCTATCCACAGGGAGAATTTATATCTCTTATTATATGGAAAGATAAAAGAGATGATCTTTCCCAAATCTTATCTTGTCTCTTCTGTGTCTTTAGAGCATCATGCTTACAACATGCTAGTAAATGCACATCATTCACGTAAAAGAGGAGATAGGTCTAGGAGAACTATTTTTTTTAATGTTCACTTATGAACTAAGCCAAAGAAATGCCATGAAGGTCAGTGTTTCCACTTTGCTAATCTTGTTTATCCTCACTTGGAGCTCAGTTGTCAGGCACAGCCTGGATGTGAAGCCTGACTGAGCCTTGGAACCCGGCAGGGTCACCAAAGTGGGGAAGAAATACCTTCCAGGGTATTTTTTTACAAATCAGTTCTATTACCCTACCCCCAAACATACTGTTTCTCCTACACTTTGATTAAAAAAAATAATAATAATAAAAAAATTCACTTTATCATGAGAAAATTATGCTTCAGCACTTGCAAAAACAGGTTGAGGAGGAGACAACTGGAAGAAGCTTGGTGGAGGTACAAAGAGATGAAGTAGCATTGGTCAGAATGTCACACAACAAATTGTAGAAAAAGTGAGAGCAGTGGTGTATTCCATAGACTGACATGTTGTAGACCTTTTTTTTTTTTCCATATACAATTAGCTCCTGAAATACTTTTTATTATATTAGGCAAAATATTGATTTTTAATTGTGCAAAAATATTATACTCAAAACCAAGACATTCTAAAATAAAATACAGGAAGAACCCAACAGGTGTTTTGTAAATCTGGATATAAACTAAAACCTGCAAAATCCCAAATCTTATCAGTGAAACAAGATTCTCTCCAAAAAAGATTTTTTTAATCAAAATCTCAGATGAATGTACACAAATTTACTTGCTCCTGGTGTCGATGCCATCTGTGATATTCCATACATCTTGAAGAGTATTGTTTCATACACCTTGGGGTAACAGGCAGGATAGATTATCTGTAACAGAGTTTAAAAAGAAACAGAAGTATGTTTCCTTTTGTCTTGTTTGAAAATCAGGACGTGCAAGATCAATATATGTCATATTGCTAGTTATAATATATTCTCACTTAGACAAAAGTGACTGATTCTAGGGCAAATTTGTTTGAAAAGGGATGCATCAGTTATAGCTGCTATAAATACACATACATACATATATATACACACTCACTACTACTCTTTAATAATCTGAGAGTGAAACTTTCCAGCAACTGAAACCCTTAGCGCAGTTGTACGGCACGTGATTCTCTCAGTTGTGATAACACAAAGGAGTAACCACTAAAAAAGAATAACATTTAAAAATAGTAGGTTACATATGGGTAGTGCTTTCATTAGAAAGGGTTGACACATGCTGATCAAAGGGGCAGAACAAACCACAGTCCTTCCGTTACTAATTTGAATTGTCTCATAAATTTGCATGCTGTCTCTGAAGGACACTTGTTTACCTGCCACCTTCCACAGAAGTAAAATTGAAGGTAAAATAGAGCATATGCATGTATTTATAAAAGAAAGTGAGAGATACACATATGCAAACACATTACTGGGGAGGTGATGACTTTCTCTCTTTTGAAGAACAGTTAATAAGCAGTTGTAATTTGCTTTCAAACTATTTTAAGTAATGATAATATGAAGCTTCTATAAACAGTCATAGAACAGGCAGTCCAATGGATTTTTTTGCTACCCTCAATCATGAAAATTTTTGTCTCATGAGTTAATTAAGAGGGTTCCTGAAAGTCGTAATTCAATCAATGCTGGGGAAAGCTTGGAAACATTATGTAGTAGACAATGCTGCACAGTGTTCTGCTTTCAGTTAATATTCAGTCCCATTTCTGGGCTATTAATAGCATGAGAAGCTATAGTAACAATATAAGCAAGCCAAAACAAAGCATCCCAACCACCACGGTACAACCAAGCAGTGGTATTACATCTGTAACCCACAAAATGAGCATCAATGTGCAACCTTTACACTTTGACATGAGAAAAGGGAAACAGCTTTAAGAAATCTCACTAGAAGTGAATCTGAAGTGAACGTGGCAATATTTTATAAGAAGAATTCAAATAATAGCCTAAGGCAACAACTCCCTTGAATTTCAAAACACCCAAAAGCCCATGTCGTAATATTTAAAAAAAAAAAAAAAAAAAAAGTCACTGTCCAAATCAGTCATTTTTAATCACCTTTCCCTCCAAAAATCAAATTAATCTTTAAGCCAATGATGTCCTCACTTGGTAGCCAGCAACCCCCGATCCATGTTTACATTCTAAATATTTCCATTAGTATGTACAAAAATATAGTGCTAATTATTCAAACAGCTGAACTCCAGGCAACCAGCTTCATTCTATTGTACCTACCAAACACAAGTGTCTACAAAGATAGATTTATTTGTTCACACGTATCAGTCATTTCTGAAGAGCAGTCCAGTCCTTTCTCCCTGCAGGTAAAGATCACAACATTCACAAAAATACAAAACTTCCTGAAGAGCAGGATAGAAATGAATCCAAAGCTTAGTTATTCCTCAACTGACAAATATATTAAGAGATAAGCACGTGGAAAAATATTCCAAACCTGGAAAATCCATCCCACTATTAACACACGTGTGCAAAGAAGTTGCTCATCATCAACACGGGAGCCTCAGAGCGAGGTGGAGGGTGCTCCTTCTGCGGGTCCCTGGCAGAGATGAGCCCTGGGGCTTGGGGAAGGCAGGTCCCTCCGTGAAGTCCCCTGTTGCCTTTTGAAAACAGCCCGTGCAATCAGCGGCACGGAGCAGAATGAGGTCACGCTTCCTGTGGAGTAGCCTCACAGCAGAAACATTCATTTTGAAGAGCAGAGTGAAGATTAAGATTAGCCCAGTGAACGCTCTTGCAGGCTGTTGCAAAAGAGAAGATACGCTATAAATAACGGTCCGCTCCAATTATGAGATGGGGAACAAAGACAGAAGCTTTTCTCATGAAGAAAAGCGATGCAGGTTTTTGTTTCAGCTTCACTTTTCTACCCTGCTCAGAAAACTTTAAAGTGGTATCTCCAAATCACTGCATTTGTTGAAATACTCATGAGCCTGACAAGCTTTGATGTAGGAAAATCATCCAGCTACCAAAAAATCTGTATACATCAACAAGACATTTTTCAAAAGCACTATTATACAGCAGATGCACTTGGTGAGAGTTCAGAGTTGTTTTAAGTCTCATGGTCAAAAACATTATTACAAATATACACCGTGCAATGTCAAGATAAATTCCTTTGAAAGGAGAAAGGAATAAAGCCATTTGTAAACATTCATTGTTCCGCTCCCTGTGTTTCATACCACGTAAGGTATCAATTCATCACACCTTAAAGTATACAAATAGAAAGTAAAATCCATGTAAGAGGAATGGAGCCTGAAGAAGATGTCCTGGTGCTCAACATGATTTGGCTGTAGAACTATTGCACACAAAAGTAATATAAATCAGCTGCTCGACACCGAACAATTATATAACCTTAGGGGCAAAACTTCATCTCCAGACAAATAGATAAAATATGCTGGTAGGTATCTCTCCTGTTGTCTGCATGTATTGCTGACAAAAAGAAAGCATAAACCTAGTAAAATATGATTGATTTGATTTAACGGTATTTTTTTCCCCTGGAGAAGGAAAAATATTTCCACTGATAACAAAGGAATGTAACATTCGCACCTCACAGAAAAGGAAACAAAAATAGGAATTAGGCAATTAGGATGTTACAAAAGAGCTTCTCTCTGGGAACTAAACAAAACCGAACATTTTAAGGTCCTTTTGCTCAAACATGAAAACACAGGATCATGTTCGGTATTCACATCACTTCTTTTAATTTCATTGAGTTATGCCAATGAGGAAATTCAGTCCAACACTATTTCCATGGATGTATGGGCTTCATCACAGCAGGATTTCCCAGGCCACCCTGTCTCTCTACAGGCAATCGACATCAATTCCCAACGGTCTTTAAAATAAGGTCACTCACTGAAGAATTTCTGTACTTACATTAATTTACTTCTTGGGAGTAATTTTCATTTGTTTTCCTATTCTTCTCAATAGGAAACAGTTAATTCTAAGCTTGGGTTGCTTTTTTGAAGGCCGTTGGCCTTTCATGTTTATCTATATCATTAAAATATATTGTGTCCATAACATATTTAGACTTAGAGGTGTTTTCTTTTTTAATCACTAACATTCATTCTGAAACTCTTTGTTCCACAAACCTTTGATGCACAAGCTTTGTGCATTAGTGAGTATTTTATAGGTAGGTGCTACCCTATGGTTTATATACAGACACAAAGGTTTACGTACAACTTGTTTTTGTTACCTGTTGCTCCTCAAACTTCCTGCCCCACCCCGAGCCCCACCTCAACCGTCAGGTTTCAAATTCTAGGAAATGAACACCCCAACGAGCTCGTTGTGCAGCAGTTTTATGCCTGTTGCATACATTACAAGTTCAACCCACAAAAGGAAGGAAATGAGAAATCACAATACTACGTACCCCGTATCTTTATTCTCTCCTCCCAGGCTTACTCTGCTTCCAACAACACTACAAATAAAGGAGAAAACACATCGTGCTGGGTCTGGCAGTCCAAGAGAGGTGAGTCCGGGGCCTAAAGGTCCCACTGTCAGAGTAAAATTGATAATAACTGGAAAAATGAAATGTAACATGTAATTGAAGCAACTAAGGATACCTGCTGCTGTTACTAAAAGTCAGCCCCAACCCTATTTGATTATTTAGAGAGAAATAGTAACTAGACATGATTTATCAAAGATTAAATTAAGGAACTAACTACTAGACAATGTAGCTTTGTCGATAAGCAGGATATTCCTGTCAAAAGAGTGATGAACTGCAGACCTGGCCAGCAAACCGAGAAAACTACCTGGAACTGCCAAGATTAGAGGAGAAGCAGGTAAAAGGCAATTTTGGCAGGGGGAGATCACGACCACCACCTCATTGACCACCTGCCCAAATGATACCACTACTCAAAAGAGAGCAACGGAAGAAGAAAGGAGAGTCTGTGCAGTGATTTACACAGAAAGTGAAGAAATCTCAACAAATCATTAAAGAGAATAACAATGAATATGTATTGATTGTTAGAATAAGCAATAATCAGTGTATTAAAAGGGAAATTTTTGAAACTCAGGTGTGCTCCCATCTTGGGACAAGCACTCTATTTCTGCACATTAATGGAATGAACTTGGAAACACCTGTGCTCTGTGTGTTAGTGGCTTGCATGCCAGATAAGAACCCAGATTTGGGACACCACCACCAGCATGGAGGCTGACGATGTACACCTGGTAGGCACACACATGCAGAGCACGTGTGTACACCATATATACACTCATAGCTGGCCACACAGACAACAGAGGGACACACAGAGCACTCACATGAGCACACACCCCCCAATGGCCTCATCCTGCTCCCCTCTCTGGCTGAGCAGGATGGAGATCCACTCGTGAGAATGTACAGATATATATACATCTGCACCTGCAGGATCCCTCTAGCCCTGGGCTCAGAGACTCAGTCTACCCAGTAGCTCCCCTGAGATCCCAGTCTCCCCAGTTGCTGGTACCTGGACATACAAGCCCTCAGGGTCACAGCCCCGCTCCAGCTGCTGGTACAGACCATCACACACACACACAGCTGGTCCAGAGTCCCCTGGACCTCTGCAGCCCACTCCCTATGGCATCACTCTTAGAGACACCCCTGGCCATGTGTCTCATGCCCCCAGATGGCAACCCTCCTCGGTCCCAAAGGTGCTCTGGTGTTGAATCATCTGGGTGGGCTTCATATCTGGACACAGGGTCTGAGGCTCTCCTGGGACAGCTCTGGGAGAGGTCTAGACAGAGTGGCCATTCTTCTGAGCCCTTAATTTGGGTTCCCACCTGCTTTTGTGCTCCAGTGCTCCTCTGGGCTGATGCAGACCACCCTTTGATGGGTTGATGGCCCTTGGGATGGGCCTGAGAGCCTTTGGAACAGGGTATTATTTGTAGTCAGGCTTCAGTGACCATCAAATCAGATCCTTTGTCCCACATCACAGCTCTTTGCTAACGCTATTTACATAGTACTCAACAAGTAAAAAACAGTCTGAGATAGATACCTGAGAATTGGTTGAAACATTCAAAAAACCAAGCAGGGGAAGTGCTGGTCACTCCAACCTCAGAGAGCCACACTGGGTCAAACTGAAGGTCTTTGAAACTCTCCCTGTCTGCAGTCTCGCTGCAGGGAAAACTAAGACTCATTTGAATTCACTTTTGTGAATGATAAAAGTTTAAGTTAAGTCCATTTGTTTAAGCAGCAGAACCACTTAATAATGTTTGAGGTACCCCTCTAATTAAAAAAAAATAATCTCACAAATCCAGCTATTTTATTTCAGTTTTAAGAGAAGGCTGATCCTGCATAAAGTTGGCATCTAATTGCAGTTTACAGAACTGGCACATCATATATGATTTTAATAACCTTATCAGGTCTGCTGTATGAACAAAGATTAATTTGCTTTAAGACAGGAACAAATTAATTTTTAGTGTTATCAGATGGAAACCCCACTCCATCCTATCAGAGACTTCCTTAGTTTCAGGGTTGAATTTTTTTTCCCCAAAATTCATTATTTTAGCTTAATTGCTCCTGCAATACAGGCAACAAAGGACATTTCTGTTTTGCATGCTGGAGTACAATGCATAGACCTGTAAAACTTAGAATTAGCTCCGAGTTTGCTGATATACCCACTGCTTGGATCTCCACCAGAGCCTGCTGCAATAATGCTGTGTCAGCTACCACTGGTTATACGACACACACAGTCCAGGTAGAGGAAGTGTTTAGAAATACCCTAGTTTGGGGTGGAGAAGAGCCAACTCTCTGTTCAGTGACAGAGGCTCTTCCTTATCTTTGATGCTTTGGCAACCAGTGTCAGGTGACTTGGTTTTTTTTACCCCATGGAGGGGTTGCAGCTCTGGGAAAGAGCAGACAGGTCAGGGAACCCAAACTGACCAATAGAGTATTCCAACTCCTCTGCCATCCTTGGCATAAAAGCTGAGGGATCAAAGGGGTTGGGATGGCTCCTCTTCTTTTTCTTCTAGTCAAGGGATTGTCTGCAATGAGGAGGACCCTGTGAGTTTGTCTACCTTCACAGTAGGTAGAAAATCCCCATTAGGGTGTTCCAGAATCCAGTTTCAGTGACCAGTCTAGTGCCTGCCAGTGACATCTCCCTGGGAGCTTGATACAGTTTTGCATATATAATTATAAATATTGTATGCATTTCATTATTTAATTTTTATTCTATTATTAATGTTTCATTAAACTAGATTTTTTCCTTAAACTCATAAATCTCTTTATCTTTCTTTTTCCTCTTCTTGGAGCAAAAGGTGGGTGAGAGCACCTGTTGTCTTGTCATTGGCCAACCCGGCCCAAACCACGACAAGAAAGTATCTAACTCAAGCAAACCTGTGATGCACAATGACACTTCTCTGTGCAAAGCCATGACCAGTTTGTGTTGCATCTCCTTGCTCTTTGATTATATAGTATCAGAAGGAAATTTGGTTGGTGTAACTTGATGTAGACACGGGAATGTGCTTGAGAGGAATTTTGTACAATGTCCCATTACTATGTAAGAACAGTGGAAAAGCATACACGGGGAAAAGAAGTGCTTCCATTAGAATCTGCAGCTCCCCCACTTTGCATCCAAAAATATTGCTCCTCTAAAAACTATTTAGCAGAGGAAGTAAACAAAAGGAGGAGGTTGATACCCAAATCCATCCGTCGATGCAGAATTTAGTCAAGGTCCCCAATAGACCTCAGGTGGGCCCTCATTAGAGTTCTTT